ATCCTTAATGCGGTGAAGAGTTTTGACAGGACATGTACAGTAGGATAGATATTCACCAAAATTTGTTTCTTTTCCTATCTCTATAATTATGTACATTGATTTAATTACATAATTTTTTTAATTATATTTTAATTGGTGGTCCATAGACTTACATCTCAGTCAGCCTCAGTGATATAATAATACAGTACTGACAACTAAAAACCATGTTCAAACAGTATGAAAAGGACTTTGATTGCACAGCGATAGCACCGTATTTTATTTTTTTTTTAATGTGAAAAGTTGCCAAACGAGCAGACGGTTCACCTGATGTTAAGTGAATACCGCCGCCCATGGACATCTGCTACACCCGAGGGTTCCAGATGTGATGACAGCCTTTTGAAAATTGGGCTCCGGCCACCTCACTCACCAGACGAAACGCGAAAGCTTTATACTTCCACTTTACGCCGGTCTTCTGTGAGGTCGTGGTATTTACCCGGACGAGCCTGCACATTCGTGCAACAGCCGAGGCGTCTGCGAGGCTCTACCACCGAATAATATGCAAAGAAACCTGAGTTTGATTTCCACTTCCCCGCAAATATTTGCAATAACCCCCAAACGGGACCTTGATGGGACCTTGTGTAACTACAATTCGTACAAAAAAGTTGAAAACCTAACTGTTAATTATGAACTAAATATAATAAGCCCCCGTTTCTGACTGCTTCGTCCTCTGATAGGCCCGCATCATTTATTATTAATAATTTCAACTACCAGATTTCTGTTATCAGACTTTCTTTTAAAAATCCAATAAGAGTGGTAGAAATAAGATTGAAAGGAACATTCTAGACATGGCTAACTGGAATCATAATGAAAGTAAAATATAGTCGGATCAGTATAGCTTTCCACTCGTGGTAAACGAGTTATCCTGTACAATGTAGTAGTCTAGTAAGCAGGAAATAATTGTACATGCTTTTATTTAGTGTTACCTGTCCCAATATTTGTCATCAAATCTTGTAAATTAACTGTAAATCGCCTGACAATGCAAAATGATGACATGTTGCTGATCTGATGATGGAGCTGGAAGGTGGCCAAAGGAACTTCGCAATCAAACGAAGAACCTCATCGAGTTTGGGCTCATTTGAACCATCATGACCAGTAGTTTGACTTTTAATGGTTACCAGGGTCTGATGATGCAGCCAGAAGGTAGTCATAGGAACTCTGTAACCCCGTCGAATTTCGGCTCGTTTGATTCGTCTTGGCGAGTACTTTATTTTTAGATGGTTACCAGGGTCTGATCTGACGATGGTGCTGGAGGGTGGTCATCAGGGTGGTACTGAGTAAAGAAACGTCGCAACCCCATCGAGTCTTGATTCGTTTTCTGTCAAGACGAAGACGAGTATTTTAGTGCTAGATGGTAACCAGGGTCCGATGATGGTGCTGGAAGGTGGCCATAGGATCATGAACAATAAAGAAACTCCTACAAATAGAAAGAGACGGCGAAATTGAAGGGGCAGGAGAGGATTGTTAAAGATAGTAATGTCCTCGAATATAAAAGAAAATAAAAGTAAAATTATTAAAGTTAAAAATAAAATTAGAAGAAAAACTTTATAAAAATTACTTTTTATTATGTACTTGTGTAACAAAAATAACTAAAAATTTTAAAATAATAAATCAAACATGATAAGAAAAACATCATTACCTACATACATTGCAAACTTTAACTATAATCCTTACTTATTTTATAAAGGCGAAAGTTTGTATGTATGGATGGATGTTTGTTACTATTGCACGAAAATACTACTGAATGGATTTTAATGAAACTTTACAATAACATAGTTTATACATCAGAATAAGACAGGCTATAATTTATATACATATTTTATGTATATCTGTCTTTTTGACTGAATGTTACGCCTTCAGCCTATTCGCTTCTAAGCAAGAAATAGTCGCGGGCAGCAGCTAGTTAACCATATTCGTCTACATCACAATTTACCCATATATATATATAGTTATAAAGGTACATACCTATTAGACATTTTTATTAAACTCTAAAACTTTACACTTCGCAATTTTGTTATACCCATTTTTTTATAAATAAAAGCGTGTTACATTGTGATTGCAAAAGAAAAAGAATGAAGGTGTAATTATGCTAAATATTCTATGCGCCGTTTTAGTAGTAAATTTGATAACGTTCGTTACTTATCAGTGAAAGTATCAACGACCTAATTGTCATATAAAACAGCAAAAGCTCCTAGCTCATTATCCTGTTCTTGACTTTGCTTTGTTTTAGGAGTGGTAATATTATTTAAAAATTAATAATATAAATGGTAAGTATGCCTAATTAACTTAGCTGTGCAAAGCACGACGTTAATGTACAGGGTTGTAAGAAAATTAAAAGTAGGTTGGCAACAAGTAACAGATCAGGGTGCAAATAAAAGACCATTTAAACTTAGATTGTTATATATTTGTCCGTTATATTAATATTTCAAAATAAGACTTAATTGAGATTATAAACGTATCTTTAACAGTAATATTTGAGTACTCTGATTATGGAAGTTCATACAATATATCTGATTATTTAAAAGAAATTTATTTTTTGTGTTGAAGAACAAGATTTATTTGTGTTCAACACAAAGAATTAATTTCTTTTATTCACAACAATTTTCACAAAAACCAGTAAAATGCTTTTAAAAATGAAAAGAAAATAAATTCAAATGGCTTTGAATGCCAGTCTATTTAATGTGAAAACTTATATAATACTTAATTTTAACAATTTTTTGGGCAAAAGCTTGTTAATTTTATTTAAAACGCTAAAAACCACTTGAAACTTATTCACTAACAACAGTAAATATTAAGGTTCACCTAGGATTGTAGTAGACAACCAAAATTTGTTATAACTTTTATTTATTATTAACACAATTTAAATTTTATAAACCATTAACAAACACGTTAATATTGGAGGTACATATTCACCAGTTTTCATTTCAAAATTTAATTCAGTTATATGAGGTATATAAGGTAGGTATCACATTTGTTTGTTTATATCAACTATAATATATTAAGCATGTATTCTTGTTATATTCAACTTATAACCAAATTTTAAGTAAAAAAATCATTTTCGATCTAATATGACATTAAATACATCAACACACATACAACAAATTTCAAGTAAAGTATGCTAAAACTACTAATGTTTAAAGCCGAAACATATATTTTCAAAATAAATAAGATTCGAATTTAAAACTTTTATTAATATAAAAATACTTTGGAATTTGGGTATCTATTTAAAAGATACGTATAAATATCTATTAAGATAAAATAGAAAGACACTTATTCACGATAACCAAAACTTTGAATCTTAATATTAGAACATCAATTCATCGGATCATCAAAAATGCGAATAACTTATTAAATTATATAATGAAGGAAACAGATTTTTTTTTCGATTAAATCCAACATGACATAGAATCAGATATTACCAGCTTACTTTATTGAAATAAATTTCATTAAAATTATAATTTAATTATAGATAACGAGACATCGATAGTGCAATAAAAATATCCCCATGAGTCTTACAAACAATATTAATTATGATATAATTCCAAATAAATCATCCGCCATTTTCCAAAATGTCGGCATCAATAGACAATTATCATCATCCGTCAATAAAGAAGCAATGCTTTCATATAGTTAAACCTCACGAAATGTTATATCGGGACCTTATGATATTACTATAATATCAATCTACCGAGGTGATCTTACGCAGAAGCTTCTGCTTTTGCATCTGCCAATGAAGGCGTGAGGTGACAGGGTTAATTGTAAAAATTTGCCAACACATCCACTGCTTTACGGGTGCAACAGGTCCATCACCATTATCATCACCATCATCACCGTAATCATCATCATTCCGGGGAAAAGGCCTAACCCTCAGAACGCCACAACGCACGACATATACCGTTGGAATCCACCGGTTGCACGCGACTCTTACGATATCGCTCCACCTAGTGGGATACCTTCTAGTTAGTTAGACCGCTATAAAGACCTAGCTATATATTAGACCGCTATATTCTGGTTCGTGGTCACCACTCGAGAACTTTTATTCCCCATCGGGCATCACTTCTTCTATAGATGTGTGCGATGTGTCCATTGTAAACCGGTTGTAAACCGCCCCAGTTTTACAACCAGTAAATCGCACCTGCTCAATTGCAATCCTCTCAAATATTTTTTGCACTATTCGCGTATGTTTCAATTATAACTAACAACGAATCCTATAACCCTGTTCATTAAAAAAATAGATAATAAATAGCCCAATGTCACGTTTACTCATCTAAATTTCAACTTTGTTAAAAAAATCTGTGTGTGTGTACTTATGTACGCGCGTTAGAAGATATACTTCTTTGGCGTAACAACATAAAAATCTTTACAAAAATTTTATCCTTCGCCTTATTCTACGTTTGTAGAAAACGACACTAACAATAGAAAAAAGGTGTTTAATACATTGAAAGTTTTATTATAATATTAATATTATCTAGTATAACACAAAATAAACATCGTGAATACAGTTGTCAGTTCTCACGCAAACATACGTAGATGTCTAGCTTACTTCAGATTGTCGGTTTTCATGACGGTGTACGCGCGCATCGTAAAAATTTACTCTCATCATTTCTCTCTAACGCGCCAAAAGAAGTATAACTTCAAAAAATATGCCTCAACAGGTTTAAAGTGTTAAAATATTATATATACACATATTCGAAAACGATACGAGCATTTGTCATATCCCATCATCATAAAGAATAGCGTTATCGCTTTATCTTTTCCAAAATATAGCACTGACTTTAATATAAAGTAAATATTATTTTTGTCTCTTAAACATTAAATTAATCCTATCTATCTATCTGTCTTTTAAACCGACAAAGTCACTGCCGTTTGTGCAAAAGCCCACAGGATGGGGGCGGGCTTCCTCTGTGGCTTACACGAATCTGATGTTTTGACTCGGTAGCAGATGGAAAATTTCTATGAAGTTATTGGTTAGCCGACTTGTCGGGATTCGGGAGGGGTGCATTCTCCTCATAAATCATCACCAGTTTGCTGTACTCCCGCCTTTTCTTCCCGTTCTGAAATACGGAACAAACCAAACGGAGTGAGTTTAGACATGGTGACAAAATGGCCGAATAGTCATTCTATATTTTTCTTATCATTTACTAGTCTATAATTTTATTATTTACTAGCGGCAACGAACGACGTTGTCCTGTACACACGACATAAATCCGATAACTTATAAAAAAAAAATTGTAGTGGACCAAAACATTCAAATTAACTGTATTAGACAGTTCATTAAAATCGGTACAGCCGTTTAGAAGTTCAGTGGAATATACATGCACATAAGAATTATATACAGCGTGTCTTTACAATCGCGACAATAAATGAAGAGCTTTTTCTTGTATTTACGCGATTACACATTATAAATGAAACTAATTTTACGGATTTATCGCGTTTATTTTTAATTTTAATTCCCGACGTTTCGAACCCTTTACAGCGTTCATGGTCCCGTGTCCATGAACGCTGTAAAGGGTTCGAAACGTCGGGAATTAAAATTAAAAATAAACGCGATAAATCCGTAAAATTAGTTTCATTTAAAATGAAGAGTTTTTACAGAGTTATTAAATTTTCCAAAATAAAGAATTTTAGAACATCCTTACGTATAAAACTGTAACGTAAAGTTCATTTCTAAAGGTTGAAAAATAACAAAGGAATGGGTTGAATGAATTTAAAAGAGACAAAACATACTGTTAGAAGGAGAGGGTTGTGAGAACTATACAATGTGTATACATTTTTACTTGTATGGATGGATTTTTCTAACATTAATATATTTTATAACAAGTAGCGTTAGACTTGTGTTCATTTATTGTCGCGGTTGTAACGACACGCTGTATATATAAGATATTCCATACTTATTTATTGTAAATAGCGGAAAACGAAAGCTTTAAAATGAGATTAGAATCTTTAATCTTGAATATGGCGGTGCCACGTCACTTCTTAATCTAATATATAAAATTCTCGTGTCACGGGTTCGAACTTGAACTCCTCCGAAACGGCTCGACCGATTTTTACCAAATTTTATATGCGTATTCAGTAGGTCTGAGAATCGGCTACTATCTATTTTTCGTCCCCCTAAATGTTAAGGGGGTAGTCCAGCCCTAAATTTTTTTTTATTTTTTATATAAAACTTTTTGTTTCTATTTTTTTATGACACAGCATACAAAAATACATACAACCCTAAATTTTCACCCCTCTACGCAGACGTAGTCGCGGGCAGCAGCTAGTAATTAAATGTATATTGATCGGACGGATCTTCTTTCATATTAAATGTCCAGTACATAAAAGTCTAGAAATATAATAGACAGATTCTTGTTATCGAAGCCGCTAAGACAATAATTGTTAATCAAAAGATGTCAAAATAGACCCATTTGTATTTGGAATGTTCTCATGACAAAAGAATATGTTAAATGTTTTCGTTACATCACAATTTATTTTAGTGGACACTACAAAATCTTCATTTGAATGTGGTCTATTTTTATAGATAAATAATAATAGAATTTATTATGTGTAACATTTGTAGTAAATTCTTAAATAGTTATTTTCATAACTTTTTTTAATTAAACTGGATTTGGTTGTTTTGGTCTACATATTAAAAACAATGAAACGCTATAAATCTATGCAAAAATGTTTTAAATAAACATAAATGAGTATTTCATTATTTCAAAAGGACAATTTGTTTTAAGAAACCGACTAATAATAAAATTATAAATATTATTTTCATTAAAACGATACCTTGATACTAGCATCTTCACTGGAGCTGCTTGAGCTGGTAACTCCTTCTTCAAGGGTCAGCCGTGCTGCTACGCCTTCGAGTTGTAGATCCAAGTAAAGTTGACCCAACTGTTCGTTGACGAGGGCCGGCTAGTTGTAAGAAACATAACAAATAAACATCGATGGGATATGCTCTCCTATTTGACCTTTACGAAATATAATATAACCCGTCGCTTAAGAAAGGAGCTTATGACAAGACTTTAATTACCTTGTCACCATTTTTTGGCATTCAACACGTAACTTCTGATTACGACAATCACAAGACTGTCTCCCTTTTTACCTCATTACGAACTAAAAGATACAAAGATAATCGATTTGATAATAACGAGATACACAGTTTGTTTAAAGAACATGACAAATAAAGATCATTTATTCTCAATCACTAACTTGTATGCAAAAGAAAAGGAAGCCCTATCAACCAATGTGACCGTACTTCACGGTCAGTGGAATACGCAAATCCTTGCTAATATTATAAACGCTAAAGTTTGTGTGTATGGATGGATGTTTATTACTTTTTCACGCATATACTACTGAATGGATTCTAATGAAACTTTACAATAATATAGCTCATACATCAGAATAACACATAATTATGCTATAATTTATATACATATTTTATGTATATCTATCTGTCTTTCTGTCTGAATGTTACGCCTTCAGCATATTCTACGTAGACGTAGTCGCGGGCAGCTGCTAGTGCTACGTAATGTTAAAAATGCTATATTGACGTAGTTTCCCTTAGTCCTCTAACAACGTTTTGACATTGCATTGCATTACCATTTCCTAACATCAACGTATTTTCTAATATATAAAACTCTCGTAAAGGGTCGACCAATTTTCGTGAAATTTTGTGTGCATATCGGCCAGGGTGGAGAATCGGACAACATCTATTTCCATTCCCCTAAATGTTAAGGGTGGTCCACCCCAAACATTTTGTTCTACCCTACAAATAATTTATATAACAAAACAACGTTTGCCGGGTTCGTGATACGAACCGCGGCTGTCTGTTTTGGGGCCGCCCGATTACCGACCGAGCTATTATAACATTTTTTTTGCGGCGAAATTTACTGTCATATTCGAATGATATTTTGCATTCCCTGAAAACAGGGATAAAAGGACATTTTCTAAAAATGAAACCTAGCTAGATCGATTTTTCGCCCCCGAATCTACGCACATACTAAATTTCATGAAAATCGCTGGCGCCGTTTCCGAGATTATCCGATAATATTCCGATATACAAGAATTGCTCGTTTAAAGGATAAGATTTCATAATTGCGCCTCAGATCAGCCTAATCCAAAGTGAATATCTGGAATAAAGTATTTAATGACACATCACGTGATATTTATCTCTTTAATTATTCCATTAAATTCGCCTAAGTTTGAAGCTTTCCAGAAGAAGACAGACGATTTTAACGTCAACATTCGGTCTCTATTTCTCGACGTACACAGAATAATAAGAGAGCGGCATTGAATATAGATGTACCACTACTTAGGGCATAGTATTGAACGCACCTGCTCTAGGGTTCTCATTTTCTCCTTGTCATCCAGCAGAACTTCTTCAACGCTTTTAGTACATACTTGGTATTTATAAACCAATTCCGAAGAAACGCACACCTATAACAACAGAGAGTTCTAAATTAGGGCACTATAAATTAAAAAAAAGCATCCGATGGACATAAGCTTGTCCGAAAATATTTACAACTTTAATGAAAAAATTTACACCAGATGGTAAGTGACGATACAACCGTCGAGTTTAAACGGGTCATTTTAGTGCGAAACGACAAACGCCACAAAATTGTCCCATTCCTTTCCTTTACCCATGAGTGATTAAAAGCAAAATACTTGGCTTCGAGTGCGTATAAAATAATGATTGGTTAGTCGTGGAAGAAAATGGCAAGAAAGTGGGAAGAATTAATTAGTGTTATTCAAATTCTCATCCTTCAAAATGCAAAGTGTAGAGAACCGAGAGACAAGCTGTCTACCCTGCAATCTAGGCTAGTAAGATTGGTTGTAAAAAAAAAGCCCATTTGGTTGCTTTTTATTGTTTCCAAGGCATCATGGAGGCTTTTAACGGCACCAAAAATATGGCAATAGGACTTGGAGAAACTAACCTACCGTAAAGTACCGCGGTACTTAACCGTTACCCGTTGCAACTATTTTGGTCCTAGACTCAATGAACCCTGCTCAAAATTTACATTTATGCAAATCTCTACATTAAGATACTAAAGGCATCTAAGGCAATAAAGAACCTGGAAACTTCTGAAAAGTTGCTACTAGGGCAAAGGGGCCTTTGCGTACCAAAAGACGTGCTTGAGTTGTTTGTTAGTTGTGTATTAAATCACCCTTAAGAAACTACTTGCAATATGAGAATCAAATCTTCCTGAATAAGACCTGACTTTCTGACCCGAATATTCAGTCGGTAGCTCTCCACAATTGAGCTTTGCAACATCTGCCTACCTATAGATACCGTGAAGCATGAGCATGTCGTTGATATGCTGCAAAAAGAGAGCAGACCTCACAAGAACTCCGGCGTTTATTATCATTACCTCGGAAGAACAGCCTGAAACATCGACAGAATTCGGAGAAACCATTCACTCAAAAAATCCTTCGCTGTGTGCTGAAAGCTTATTAACAAGGTTTTCTTGCAAAATCCTATCCAAAGACATTGGGAACATCTAGGGAAACCGCAAATGCGATTTACCATTGTTAGGTTAATGGTACGTTATTACGTGGCATACACAAGAAGATACGATTCAACGAGACAAATCTATTTTAGGTGACGCCAAAAATACAGTTTTGTTTTAGCTATGACATGAGTTGTTCAATATATAATTGTTACTGATTTAAATTGCACACTCTTTGAAACTAACAAGACTTTCCTCACCGTAATGTGGACGCTTCATTGGAAGACGTCGATGCAAGCCGCACCAATTGTGGCATTGGTGCAGCTTGCTTGAAGGCTTTGGACCAAACGACTGTTAGAAGTTTAAATTTAAACCAACCAACGGTTTCGCTCGAGGATACAGAAAGTTCGTGGTTCTTACAAAGGATGTGGTAGCCGCAGAATTGGAGTAACTACAAGTAATGACAAGTTCGTTGTTCTATTTATCTGTTGTAACAACGAACATCCAATAACACTAAACCAGAACTAAATGAAGTGCGTGGTGTAACAGTTAGTGCACGGGCAGTAAGAAGAAGGCTGAAGGAAGGGTTTCACAGACAATCTCGCTTACTATTTGCATGTAAATACTTAAATTGCAATAATGGGCGTCTGTGTGATTCTTAGTCGCAGAGAAGAATGTTGCGACAACATTGAAAAGAATATGCACAAAGTTACATTGAGGACGCGTTCCTTTACGAGGCGGATCGAGTATGGTTTCGGGAGAACAAATCGAAGAATACATCGATGAACAGACGGATAGAACTTGTGTTTTTCGACCTGGTCCTTCAAAACGGCGATAGAGGTGCTTTGACTTTACATCGCTACATAACAAAAATTTCATAGGATTCATAGGCGAAAATTTTATCAAATATAATGCAGCACTAACGCAGCACTAAATAACGCACGCCGCTCCCCGAGTCCGACAATACTTATTGGCCAACACGACAGACCTAAATCCCGTTGAGCGGGTGTGGACACAATTAAAAAAAGTCACGATTCGAGAAACCCTGCGCCACAACATTAGCGGCACTAAGAACAGCAAAGACTCAAGAATGGGACAATATTCATCGAGATCGTTTAAAAACCCTTACGAGGCGCTAATGTACCTTATTAACTGAAAAAGTTAAAATCAAATTTTGAATCAAACTAATTATTGTTTTGGACAAATTATATAAAATGTATGTAAAACGGTGAGCGTTTTAATTTAAAAAAAAAGTTTAACGTTTTCAATGAGCAAGTAGAACCTACCCACGTAACACTACGCTTTTAAAGATGATGAACTAAATTATGCTTTTTAAATTAAATTGGTATACAAATTAAGCACATCGGTAATAATATTTATAAAAGTATTTTTTTTTATATTAACTACACATCATAATAAGTACTTATCACACTATCGGCAAATATATTAATATGATAGCATTTTGGGCCGAAAGTAAAAATTATCCTGATTTGACCAAGTCGGCGGGATCGATGGCGGTCCGGTGGAATCCGCCGGGTGTTCAAATGACGCCGGATTGCAATCTAAGCGTATTGTGTATTCGTACCGGGTATTATTCGTTTGGCTTTCCATCAGATATCAGATGTGTGCAACACGTGTACAACTATAATTATAGATACGGCAATCCGATATCAATGCCTACCGCTAAATTCGTTACTTGTCCTCTATCATCACCCAGGGGAGGCAAGAAGAGTATCATAATTCAAGTAATAATATTCTTATATATTATGCTTCATACGGACGCGAGCAGTCACTCCCATTTAATTAAAACTAATAAGATATGCACTAGTAAGATATAATACTGTTTAAGCACCTATACCTATGCTCGGTGTATGCAGCCTCTGTAATTGAAATTGCACGTTGTTTATGTTAATCTTTTATGCTATTCCAAATAACATGTAATTTTGTAGATAGACCTTAATGAATAAATAAAATAAAATCATGATTACTTACATGCTCCATCCATGGTGCTTCCATTTTCCTTCTTATGATCTTTTTGATTTGTTGCAGGTCTATTAATGGTAAGTTCCCAATTTTTCTCCCATCACACGTGCCCTGGAAGGATAGCGTTAAAAACGATCTACAGATGGAATGTACATTTTTCAGTCTAAAAGTTATTATAAATGCCCGTTATATTGACCATATGTAATCAGAAACATAGGCCACATAAATATTCATAATTTAATAAAATTTAATAATTTAAAAATATAATTCAATTCAATAATCCAATTCAAATAAATGAACTTAAATAGAGTATTAACAAAAAATGTAATAGCAAAACATTGACAAAAACGTAATGTAGTTAATATTTCTTACAACAACAACAATACTGAGTTGGACGGCATTGATTCGATCAAGGACTTAGGTATGATTTTAGACTCGAAACTTCAGCTAGTTTATCACGTGAATTATTTTACCGACAAAGCATTTCGTGCTCCCGTGTTTACTAGTTTTTCAACTCTATTTTTTGAAGCTTTAGGTTTCACTTCTGCCTTTGAACAAAAGAAGAATTTTAAGTGATTCGTTATAGTTATACAAAATCTTTATAACCTTATAAATTGCATTTCTCTTAACAAGAACTTGTGTTATCACATCCCTAGGCGTTATCAGCGCATCCGTCTCAAGTACTATCATTAATAATTCAAAATGTCGGACTAACGTCAGTTTTCGCTGACCGATGCACCGCATTTATGGCAATCATACAACGACAACTTCACAAGTTGTTGAAATTTTTGCTACTATGCCTTCACGTTTAAAGAAATAATTCACTAAATATTTTAATATATAATTAAGTTAAAATAACATGTATAAATTTATATCGCTATCTTTACTATAGCTAAACATAACTTTGGGTATACGGTGTTGTATGTACATATACTCATCGGTATTCAAGTATAATATGAACATGAATATATAATTTGTTTTTACATTTGTCTGTATGCCTTAATAGAATAAAATAAATATAATGTATGTGTTGAACACATTAGCTGCCACTTTGACGTAAATTATAATTTAAATTGTAATTTTTCTCATTTACCAAGACTTCGGGTCTAGACTTGGGGAAACTGACATATCCGAATCCAGCCCGCTTAATAGTTAGCTATCTGATATTAAGAATTAAAATTTAAATATAGGTGGTTAAGGCCCCATACTTTGTGTGTAAAGTACATAACAAAGATTTTTTAACATTTCCCCACAGAGGTATTAAAATCTTAACATTAATGTCCTTTACATAAAATAGTTTCATTTCACGAAAAATCTTAATCGACATGAGAGCTTCGCAAAGATATGATAAATAAACTTTAAACTCACTTTATTCTCGCCCTTAGCGTTAGATTTCTTTGAGTTGATTTCTTCAATGCTTCCGGATTCAGTCTTGAAGAAGGACGAGTAAAATGATGAGTAACTAGATTCTTCGTCGGTTTTCTCTACCGTGCCCTCGCTGTTGCCCACCCTTATCACTTTGCGTTTTTTGTTCTCTGCAGTTAGATGCACACCCGTGCACTATTGGCAATCAATTAATTAGATTATTAAAAGGAATTGACACCTTAAATTCCAAAGGCACAACAATACACACCATGCTATAAAAATATCAATAACATAAAAGTAACACATAAAAAAGGTGTATAATTGAAAACCACGCTGCATACACAAACACACATGATAAATTCTCAAATCGCAAAGACAAACAGATATAACATTTGCTTTCATTAACGATCTGAAAGATATATAAATAATAAATACGGCACACCATTCAAGTATCAATAATCCACCAGCATATGCCAGCACAAATAACACAAGGTTTTGTCACATGCAACATTGATGTGCACACAATACATACATAATTTATTATATTTTCTTACCGCCCGAATTTAGCTTTTGATAAATTTAAAATGCCACAATTCTGGCCGAGTTACATGTTCGCTACACAGGCTACATGTTGGGTGTACGGAGCGCAATAAAACATACGTAGGTTAAATAAAACATTCTAAGATATGACATGGTCCTAGTGGTACCGGTAAAGAGATGCTACCTTACTTAGATAAGAACCAGAGAGATTCTTAAGATGCAATTCCACCAGTGTGCGGCATTGTAGTGCACAGTGTACGACACAAATGTTTGTTCTGGTCGACTCACAAAAACAAACTTTTACTTTGGTGCGCGCACACGTGCATCGAGTGGTCTCGCATCGACGTATAGCACTTGTTGTTCGTGAACTCAGCCTTGTTTCTGCTGCCGGAGCGAAAACATTTTTTGGTACGTTTTATTTTTTTTTATGATGTTAAGTTATAACCGCCGCTCGTGGACATATTTTGCAACTCTACTTGGACCGGACTCGCAGATGCGTTGCCACCTTTCAATAAAGTGGTTCCTGGCTCACATGAACCACTCACCAGACGCAACGCATAAGTATAAAACTTCCATTTCACGCCGGTCTTCTATGAGGTCGTGATATTTTCCCGGAACCTAACCACTCGGGCAACACAGAGACTGTTATGTGTCCCAACCAAAAGTTAAATTATGGTATATTGTTTGGCACAATAAGTAACTAACTACAATGAACGGCAACTCAAAATCTTCCTACGATATACGAATGAAATTTTTAGATCTATTCAATGAATCTATTTTTTTAAATATATTCCATAAATCTATGCGTTACTACACTGCATCGTGTTACAACATAATAAAACACAGGCTATTAACTGAAGACAGAATCTCTTCTCAGTGAACATGTGTGCTGCACTGTCCGAGTACAAAAGCCGGTGAACTTAGGAGGTAAACGCGATACCGTGATACGAGTATGTGCTAAAGTTTAATACATTAACATTTTCTGTTAAACAAAATGTTTGTTAATGCTGCACACAAATTTTGTGGAATTGTACCTTTAGAATAAAAGAATCACGTACGCAATTGCAAGGACACACCGGGATGCCGTACATTGTTAATAAAATAAAAAAAAAAATACAATTCAATGTGTAAAACACAGGGACCAACGGGCTCCGTTATAAAAGAATTCACACATTTATCCACACAGATGATTAACCTACGTGATGCCACCCAATATAAGTAATTTACTAACCTTCAATATAGATACATTCGTTCAATGCACTTTCTAAAGTAATAATAGCCACGATAGGCATTAAACGTAATTTTTAACACGCAAGAAAAGGTAAAGGAAGCTTATAATTCAATTGAGGTGTATAATTATTACGAGTGTTATTTAAAATTATAACGAGCCCATTTAAAAGTCGCTTTGCGTTTTATTTAACCATCGCATAAATATTACTTTTCGTACTATATACCAACATTTTGTTAAGAGTCGAGTCGCATAAACAAACACTCGGACAACTATAAACTTAAATCAGAAACCATAGTCATTAAGAGGATGTTTGGACCCAGTTAATCCCTGATCTAACCTTGCGACTGTAAATGGTCGTGACCGATGCGATATCTGGCAAGGGCTTTGGCGCATTTTCGGTGTCCATCTTATTATCTTTACCGGAAGCTCCCGTTACCTACAATATTAATGTTAAGTAATAAATTAAAGTAACAGCCACTACATATGAGTCTCCGTGGCTAAGGCTTCTTCTGTGCAGACAATAACAGCTCGCTGGAGCCGAAATTAACATACTGTGTGTAGCTAGGGGTTGCAGGATTGGAGTGAAAAGCCGGTATCATAATCTTTACTTTATTCCGACACTTCAACAAGCCTTCTTACTTACACTACTTAGTCCCTTCTCAATAGGGAAGATGCAATATTTTCATTTTTGGGTTTATTCGATTGGATTTCATGTAGAATAGACCACTAGCATATTAAAAAATTAAAGTACTGTAATTTATTGTAAAAAAAATGGGCGCGAAAACGGATGTACAATTGCGATGACGTCACTCCTGTCTGTCATCTGTCACTTGCCAAATAATTTGTCTCTCTTTAAAGCATAAGTTTTGACTTTCTAAAAATTTATTATTATTTTTTTAAAAATAAAATATCAACTATCTATCTACATCAGGTAATCATCACAATGCCACCAATGTTCCAAAAAATATCTATGTAGATGCGTGTTTCGTGCCTAACCTAACCTAACAAAATTCCCAAATAATTAAAGTGCGAAGAAGGATGTGTTAAGGTCGAAAAAAATTGCAAACCAACGGATTCACATTGAAAGAGAGATCAGAAAAGACTGCATGAGTTTGTTTTTCTAAAGCCACACGCCTGTGTTGATCATTTTTTTAATACCCAACGTAGACTATGCTATGATCATTTATTGTGCTTTTGTCTATTTACAATCAACCTTAATTAAAATTTAATAAAAAAACTGTAATAAAAAACAGGGTTTTATTTTATATGTTTCTCAAAAAAAATGGTGAAATGTTATATAATATTTTGAGAATGTAGCATCTATCCAGAACTTCATTGCAGCATCCAAAACAGATATGACGCTGTTATCAAATGGTGCAAAATTCACATCTACACACTGCCACACAGAAAATTTTTTTCATTCGCATTTTTTTCTTCTGCTGAATAACATTTTAAGCTGAACTTGTGCTCAAAATTTTTCATATTTTTTCCCTCTAGCCATTGGAAGTAAACTTTGATCGTGCCCCCATAATTTTGATCAGTAGAGAACCAATTTTACTTTTGCAGTGAGCAACTTCATAAAGAGTTGAGCCAGTGGTCCTTCCATACCTGTAAAAATAGAAAATGCATACTTTTTACTTATATAAGTTTATGCTATGTATGTATGAAAATTTGCTTTTGTAAATACATAAAATGAGTACATAAATAAAACTATATTAGTATCTATACCTCTATATATCTTAACTCAAACCACAATGGGAAAAAACCATGGATTTATACATACCGTAACATTTTATTCCATTTCATTTCTACACTTGAAAATTCTGCACTTTCAACAAAAACATTTATAACCATGTCAACACTAACTTCCATTAAATTCCTGGAGTATGCTTTTATAATCCCAATCTCCATTTTTATTAAAAAAATACATTTAAATTTCGCAAAACAAACAATGTTTACCTTTCCAATGTTAACCTATATAAGCTGTCAAAACAGGAATGACGTCACTAGACGCTGATTGGGGTTTTAAAAAACGTTCCGTTTCACATTACTTTAATCTGTAATATTTGTTAAAAATCAATATAAAACAAAATAAAAATGTTGCAGTGGCCAATTTTTTATGATTCTTTAACATTTTAGTCAGAAAAAATTGAAAAATATTAGATCTGCATCTATTATATTTTAATATCACTTTTTGTTTTTACTTTTCACTTTACACTTAATTTATTCCTCCACTATTCTTTCCAATGAGTTCCTCCACTGAAATTTTTAGCACGCTTAGGGACTATTTTTTAAGGTCGTATTTCAATCCTTTTTTTCCTGTATAATGGTCCTAGACGGAGCTCTAGTAATCCAGAAAGTAGGTCACATAATTCTTGTCACTCTAATTCTTGTCTGAAGTTCTTTCACTCACGAACACTGGACACATTTTGGACACCAATCTTCTAAATCATCAAAACAGTGAAGCTAGTCAAAGTTCAGTTTTATTTCAGCGTCTTCTTCACGCCCAAATGTCCACCTGCTAGCGCATCATGTCAAGCTCTGAGTACCTCGCTCTTTCTATTGTGGCATAATTATTTGCAGGTGACATTCATGGCTTAGCCCATTCATTCCCCCACTCATTTTCGCATAGGTTGTCATTTTGCAACACAAAACCATGAAAAACATTTATTTAAAACAATTAGAAAAACAACAAACACTACAAATTAGAAAAACAATAACAACTTATAAATAACAATACTTTACCATTTTGCTGACACTTTTTAATGTAATAACGTAATATCTGTAGTCCCTCACTAATCAAGCCTGTATCGAGGAGACATAGATTTTCGAAGATTTAACATTTTTCATCAAGCAGTCATTGAATTTTACTACATATTAAAGAAAAATAAAAATGAAAATTAAGTGTACATTACATTTAATGAGGGGACAGTAAACAAAGAAAGTTTCTTGCTTAATAGCCAAATAACATCATCAGCCGCAAAACGTCCATTGCTGAATATGGGCCTCCCCCTTAGAACCCCACAACGAACGACACTTTTCCATTTACATCCACCGGTTGTCCGCGACTCTTATGATGTCGCCTGTCCACCTAGAGGGAGGCCTTACAACGTACATCTGTCATGCTGGATATTAAAACTAGGGATTTGCGGAATTGAAGTGAAAGGCCGATCTAATCTTCAATTTAAGATATATGTGACTGCACTCTTCTCTAGTTTTCGCAAAAGTCCTCTGCTTACACTTCTCGATCTCTTTTCTATTTTTGCTGCCACTTCACACTTTTCCATTTCTTCGACTACTCTTTTTATTGCTACTTATAGTTTTAGTTCCAAGAAGTTTAGTTTTAGTTTTGAAGTGCTTTCTACCTCGCCACGCACCTTTTATAGACCGAATTTCGATTGTCTTTTTATATACAATGTTATGGAATAAGGGCCCGAATTTTGATCATCGCATTAATATCTTTCTCCATTTCTTATATATGAATATATTCTCACGACGATTACGGAATTAGTACGAGTACTAATGCCGAGTAACAGAGGGTATTCAAGTCACTCGAGTATAATAAATCAAAGGTGTACGCACTTCATTACCCAACAGCATTGTAGAAGCCAATGAGTCCTAAATATAAATTTGAATTTAATAAATTGTCGAAAAATTTTGTTTACTGTAAGTTTGTTGTGTGTTTATTTTTTTTGAGTTTGTCGGTCAGGGTCACATACAAATTTGCTGTGCAGCAGCTTGAGAAAGCCACTGCGAATCTTGGTAGAAATATATATGCTTGCGTTATTTAATAAGAATTGTCATGCGGCCCATCAGCGTGCGGGGCTGTAGGGCGTGTCCTCTTGGCTGTGCTCGTAGCCGAAGTTGTACTATACGTGATGTTGTTTGTGCTACCACTAGTGAATGTATATGTACCGTGTAAGCAAATGTTTCCAAATGGATGATGAGTAATTTGCCGTATTTACCACCAGAGAATTGGAGGTGGCGGCGACCGGCTCTCCCGGAGAATTATTTTGTTGGAAAACAAAATTGTATGTACGAATTCTTATAGTGAACCCCCCCCCCCCCCCCCCCCCCTACTACCGAGACTACCACAAGGTCTGATAGTGGACCAGCTGCTTCCATCGACTTTTATCATTCAATCTAGTGAGTACAACCAGTATAAGCCTGACATGGACCATGCGATGACAACTTGATCATCGTCTTGACCGTGTTAGTTTTAAAGCCCACTCATTGTCGTCGGCAAAGGTGGTGCCATCAAGGCAAGGTCCACTTCCTATGGTTTTGCGGGTTGGCAACGGGAGTTTTTCAAAACAACTCGCACCTTCAACGCTGATGCCTATTATTGGCCTGGCCATGATATCGTGTCGGTGTTATCCAGTGTAAGTAAAGTTTAATTATGATAACCTTAACCGGACATTTGGAATTGGTTCATTAAACGCTTTTTAAAAAAATGTTAGATAATAAAATAGATGATTAAAAGGTGTGTGGATAATCCTAAAAAAATATAGAATTGGCTTTTCAAAAAAGTACTTTTCTTGTTTGGTTTGTTGCTGAACGGAGACTAATAATTTAATAGATATAATTAATTTACACAAATAATACCATTAACATTTCTGAGTAAAGATTAGCATATCATGCAACTAAAACTAAATCCCTAACTCTAGGCTGATTTTGGAGATAAGGTTATAAATCTCCGTAAGTTTACATTAGTTTTTTAGATTTGCAGTAGTTCGTAGTTTAACATGACTATTCATTTAATATATACACATTATTCATTTTAATAATACCATTTATTTAAATGGCTGGGCACAACTTAAATAAAATGAAATCCCTAACTTTCGAAGGTTGCTTTAGGATTTAACGTCCTAACGCCCGGTTTCTGAAACACTGATCACCGTAAACAGCTAAACAGCTGTCAAATGGCTTTTCAAATTTCATTTTAGTTACCAAAATGGTGGTTCAACTCTTTGATTTGATCATTCTGATCTAATGATCAAGGCAAGGTCCACGTCCAAGATCTTTATGGTCAATTCAGAGAGTTTACCCATCTTTTTGGCAACTGAATCGAAATTTGACAAGCCATTTGACAGCTGATTAGTTGACATCTACGATGATCAGTGTTTCAGAAACCGGGGGTAAATCTTATAAACTAACATTACCTAGATACTATTTAGATCATCATGAGATTGAATACACAAATTTTACGTACAACATATAAAAGTAATTTTCATTAATTAATTAATCAATCTAGTTTTTTTCTTTGACATATGAAAATTGTACACAAACAGTCAAATCGTTTTAAATTTTAATAATTTAAAGTAAACGGCAGTGTAATAGTTTTAGCAGCAGCCTTTAGCCAGAAAACAATACAAAATTTTTGAACTTTCACTCGATCAAGCTCTTTATTTCAAGCAAAAGTACTGTCTATTAAGTCAAATATCAGGTATACATTTTTAGTGATTTTCTTTAAACATCTATTGGTTTTAAAGTACGAGTATATCTGTAACCATGCAACAAAATTGAATTTGAAAAGTAAATTATATTGAGGGCAACATACTAAAACATTAATAATTTTGTTTGCAATGCTTTGATAAAGCTAAAGATATTGTTATAATAATAAAGCATTTTTTGTATAAATATCTCAACCTATTCTACTTATTCTACTAACTTCATTTTGACATCATTATAAGAGGTACTGGCTCTTCTCGCAAATGGGACTTCCATAACTACTACGGTTATAAAAATTGAGAACATATCAAACAATACAATAAAATGATTTAAAAAAGTACACAGAATGTGCCAAATATGTGCTCTTTCTCACTTTCCACTTTGGAATTTGGGTCCAGAATAGTTTTTCTCAAACTTTTTTGGTATACCGTCCTCTTTATACTTTCCATAGTTTTTCCATACTATTTAAAGTTTCAATCGCCCCCTCAGATAGCCTCGGTGCCCACTGGTGGCTGTACCCACCACTTGGAACCATTGGTAGTCTAGACCCACGTCGATTATCTGTAGTCAGGGACTGACTTGTGAAAACTGACTAATATGCCCTCGGATAGTAAAATTATAAACGAAGTGACATTGAGCCGCCATTGCCTACTTTATCTAATTACATTACTATTTATTTGTTAATGATAAACAAAAATCTTATTCAATATAACGAAAAAATAATAAGTTGCCAAACTATACCATTTTCACCTACTGCGATCATATGGACACATAATATATGAGACATTTACTTGTAATAAACACTTAGAGGCTCAATAAAGCAACATTTTTTCTCGTCAATTACTTACTGGCAACGTGTATAGTTTAGTTTTCGCACGCAGTGCGGTTAATAATTCGAAAGCGGACATCACTATCACTACGCTGTTTTGTCTGTTTCACAGCGCTGTTGGACATTCTATGGCCAATGTATGCCCCTTACCTCCAAATAGTTGCTGGTCGCCAAGCTCAGCGGGTTCAAACTGTACACGTTGTTGGCATACTGGGCTCCTTGCGATATACAAGACGGCTGCATCGGATACGCCACTTGCGAACTTATGGCTGGGTACATAAACGGCGTCCCATAGACTGGCTGCCCGTACATTATGCATTGTACTGGAAATAATAAGAGGCTTTCTTAAAACACAAACGTTACAAAGTAATGTCACGGTAGGAAACCAGTTGTTAACCCGTCAATAACCACGACACAAACTTTTTTATCTGCCTAGAAATAATAGTGTTTCTGTGCCCTATAACTATTGAATATTTTTATTAATTTGCTATTGATATCCACAATTTTTAAAGAAAAACTTGTAATAAAATTAAGATTAAATTAAAATGTTTTAAATTAATCATAATTTTACAAAGAGCCTATAAAGTTGTGCTTGCCGTAGAAAATATACATAGCTAATAAACTATTGGGAATAATAATCATAAAAAATGAATTATTATGAGCTAAATACAGTAGATTAACCATCATAACTTACGTAGCACTATTATCGGGTAGGCTAGACAGTTTTTTGTTACGAACAAAAAATTTACATTACCAACGAAGTTCGACATGAAATAACTGCTGTCTTACTTCGTTGATTTGAACTAACATTTTAAATGCGTAATTGTAAATCATGGAACTTGGCAAGAACTATCAATCAAAACATTATTAATTATTTTTGGAAACAATATAAAACTATTAAAACTGTCCAAGTTGTATTATGAAATTCAAGAATTTTTTTTAATACTCAATAATGCATTTAGATAGTTTTGTTTATTATCATTTACCTTTTTATTAATGAGTAATGAGATTCGAAGTAGCACATTTCTGCCGGTTAGCCAAATTTTTTAAGCTTTTAAAATCGTACAAAATGTTTTTAGTATATAATGTTTTACAATATAAATGTAATATGTAAATGAGCTTATAACATTCTATACTATAAAAATATATTGTATCTGGGTTGAGGACATATGCATATTTATTTATTTATAGGTATAAACTAATTAAATATTACTAATGTCTAAAACATCAGCTCTATGTCGGTATATTTGGTTTTTCTTGACGATTTCTGACGCGCAGCCTACTTACTACCTAAGACAATAAGAAACAACAACTTACCCGCTGGCATTTGTAACTGTCCGTAATTATTTATATGCATTAAGTTGTCAAGATTTGGATTAACAGGCATTTGATTGCCTTGCATTGCCATGATCGTGGGTGCCGCGTTCATAGCCATTGTATCATTGGGCATTGCGTTGGCATCCATTGCGTTACTTTGTACTGGGTCAGAGGCAATAGCGTTCCCAGCTGTTGCATTTTCGGGCATTGAGCTAGTAGTCACGGCGTATCCTGGCATTACTCCCGCAGTCATTGGCCGCCCAAACATTGGGTGTCCTGGGATAGGTGGAAGAGGTATCATGTGGCCAGGCATAAGGTGTCCAGGCATAGTAGATCCCGGCATTTGACCGATCATAGGGTGGCCAGGCATTCCGTTGTTAGGCATTGGCATTCCCTGAGTGGTAATTGCACTGCTTGAAGCATCTGTCAACATCGGCTGTGCGGGAGCCGGCATGTAATTCATTGGATTCATTCCTGGAAAATAATGTCACAGTTAAAATTAAAATGTCAATATTCAAAATGTTTTGGTGTGTATGTGAAATGTACAAAATTTTCTCGCCTTCTTGTATAATACAATCCCTTAGATCATGACCGAAATGTCTCATAAATAGGTCGCAATGACACGAATAGCCAAAAATTTAAAGTTGTACAAGTACAGGGACATGCAACACTTTAACACGCCTAAAGTTGTTCCAGTTTTGCTCCGTTTATACAACAACTTGCAAGGTCTTCAGGGTATGTCTCACCGCCGACCACATATCGCCGTTTACCTTACACACTTCAATTTGAAGTAAAATTGTAAAAACTTTATAAGAAAGGAGGTGTTTCATTTTATACATGACTCAGGCTATAACTTGTTGTCTGTAGGAAACATTGTGAGCCCAAAAAACAGATTCCACGATTCTACGACGAGTTAACACAATCACCGATGAATATAATTGTTCGTTTTTAATAATTATTTCTCCAAATATCGTTATCATGTAACATCGTATACATATAACGTAAAAAAGGAATTGTTAATGGATGTTTCATTCCAAAATGCATTGAGCACTGCATAAGTGAACAAAAGGCAAAATACTAATTAGTATATTAAAATGACGCCTTGACAGCAGTTCTTTGTAAATTTATTCATATTTAACAAACAAACATCTCTCCTCTTTCTCTCTCTCGATCTTATTGATCTCTCAGTATTAAATAAATAATATCTTAGGGATATTTAACACACGTGGTTCTGGCGGTAAACACGATAGTACAAGAGCAATAATCTCGCAGTCCACAGTACTAACGCGCATTTTGCAAGTTTTGCGCGGTCTTAACTGATATGAATTATAAATGAAACTAATTTTAAAAAGTATGTATGTTACGTATGGCATAAGAATTTTAGAAAGGCTAAGGTCCCCCATGGCACAGAAAAGGTTGGCAAACACTGCCATACAGTATTAATCACCATTATTGTAGATTAAAATGTAATTTCAAAGACGTTGTGTTTCGTAAGTGGTAATTTATTTTTGTAACAAATTAAAGTGATTTCTAACTTTTAATTTGTAACCCGTAGTGACCTCAATATTTTTTTTATAAAACTTGTAATTACAATTAACAACAATTTACATGTGAACGGCGCTTTGTTCATTCTCGTGGTTCCGACGTAGGCAAGGCAAGAATTCTTTATTTAAAAAAAACAGGTTTCCATTTCCAACATTACGTTTGGAAGTTTTAGGCTACAAGCGTTGTAACCACAAGGATGGAAATAAAAAAGTTCGTCAAAATTTAATCACAAAAAATGTTCACAAATAGTTTAGTACCTACCAATTAAAAATTAAGAAAATAGCCGACATTGTCCGTGTCATAAAGTGATATGAATATATGTAAGTAATATGAACGTGCCATAAATAAAAAGATGAATAAAAAAAAGTTAGCGTAATCGTAAAACGATTGCTTACCGGCGGATGTTATCGCGGTTGGTTGCTTATGCTGGGGTGACCGAGGCGAGGCGCAGTGGTGCTTATGCGCCCCCTCCTTGGATTCAATTTGGTTGGAGACCCGTTTAACGCCGTGCGTCTGTAAGGAGGTTCCTCGTAAGTACACAGTTGTATCCCGCCAACTTAAAAAAACAGGTATCGTCAACTGAAATTCTGTATTTATTTATTTATTTAAAATTTTATTGTTTACACCTCAACTTAAGGCTTAACAAAAGCCAAACTTAATGCTAATAAGCATGCTCTTCCCGTGAGCCCTGGGATTAGAGAAAGTTTGACGCAGGTGCAAAACAAAATACGAGAAAAAAATTAAAGAAAAATAAATAAAAGAAAACAAAAAAAAGCAAGGTATTCCGTATAACTTATCTATAGATACATCTGTGAGTCGCAATATGAAAAAAAATCAATGATGACAGAATCGGATGGCAACAGTATTCGCGATTGTACAACAGCGTGCAGCTAGATAGAGAGATTTTTAGACTGCGGCGCGAACGATTGGGCAATTCTCTACACCGCGTGACGTATGTAGGTACCAGTATTCCGTAACAACCATGGTGTGAATTAAACCATATCAAAAGCAAAAGTAGTTCTTGAGTACCACTTTGCAAACATGTATATCGCAAGAAAATAATGAAAAAGGGTATGTACCTTTTTACTCCAGTCCTGTGCTTCGCTCATTTTTATTCCGGCTGACGTTGGCTGGAATGTGGCGTTGCATCTGGCCAGATGTTCCTTCTTTTTTTGTCTCTTCTCATTGGAAGTCTGCCTCACACCCTTGCTGATAGAACGACTTTCACGATGCATCTTCACTAATTCTTTTTCCATTTCTGCGTTATGCCTTTTCGAACAAACAATCCTCGTAAAAATATATTTTTTATGAGAATAGAAATATGAAGTATGAAATAAAAAAGCTCTAAAACCATTAGGTTTTATAGTGATATAAGCAATTACCTTCTTTGATGAAATATTACGTAATAAGCTCATTACGTACGTACATGTAATGCATTTCATCAGTGTATACTGCGCAAGCTATTTACATAGCTTTACACATAAGTTGCACGATTTTTCCATGAAACAGAATCTTAATATTTTGGAAACTTTCCATTCATTAAGCTCCGATATACATTCATACACTTCCAGGATTATTAAGTCTCATAGGCACAGTACAAAACAGGATCAATAAGGCATAACATAGATATATTCATAGGTTCTGGCGACAAAATTCATGGCTACGGCTTGACTGTCATTATATGTTTTATAATACAAAATTAGAACTTCTAATTTTGTATTGTGTTTTGTAAGTATTCAAATTTGACAAGAAATGATAATTTATATCTAAAGAAAAATGTAACCAATTTAAAAAAAAAACATATAATGAGTGTAATAGTGTCGAAGAAAAAAATATATAAAATAAGCAAAAATAAACATGTTCTACTTAAAAGCCTTGCCTACCAAAAAGTTCAATGTTTTGTTTACATTTATCGAATTTATCGAATCGAATCTAATATAATACTTATGCGAGCTTTCGCGAAAAACTAACTATTCAAGAAACTACGAGCTAGTGGGGGATAGGGGGGGGGGGGGGGGGGGGGGGGGGAGGGGGGGGGGGGGGGGGGGGAGGGTCCCTGGAATGCGAAAAATACGCTTGTTACGCTCTAGAACGTTTCGACATCTAAATTCTTTCATGATAAAAGTTCTCCGAGATGTACTTTTATTTAATTCTGTTATTTTATAAAGAAAAGACTATTCTTTGATGGCATTGAAGTGACCGAATTACTAGCATTTTCTCTGTATTCGAATGTATAAATACCGATCTATATGGAAAGTAAACATTTTATGTACCCAATACTTATTTGCTATACAGAGTTTCGTATAGATGGCCTGCGACAACTTTTCACGGGTAGACCAATCAATGCTAGGTAAATTTTACTAGAAAAATGTCCAAAAGGATATGCTGAACATTTAAAAACGCATCTTTCGCATTCGTATCATATAATGACAGTGTATATCATATAATGACAGTCAACCCGACTCATAAGATCGGTTGCATAACAACCGCCAAACAAGTCAGATCTTTCTGCTTTGCTTCCGATTCGATCTCGAAAAAAAATATATTTTTATGAAATCTAAAAAGATACACATTATTAAACACAAAAAGTAAAAAAATATATAAAAAATGTGAAATGCGATCAGTATTTTCAGGGATCAACAATTAATGAAGTAATAAGTATAAATATTTAAAATCAATAAAAAATTAAATAGAATAAATATTTAAAAAAATCAAATCGTAAAATATTGAGAATTAAAGATTATTACGAAACGTACCCAGCATTAGACGTGGGATTACTCATGCCAAAGATATTTTCACCAGTCGCAGTATTGTAATCCTCATAGGAGTAAAACGGGTGACTTTCGAAATACCTGAAAATTAAAAAAGAAACAATCCAACGTTAAGGAAAATTTAAGAAACCTGCAGCTTAAAGGCAAGTATTTATTTTCGATTTTAAAAGCAAGCACTAAGGCAACGCCTTAGAAAGAAAGGCCACTACTTACCTCTGAAGGGTAACGTTGTAGTTCAGCTGGTTGTAGCTGACTGGCGTCTCCGTGCTGGATTTACCATCGTTATAGTCGTGGTGGGGTGATATACCTCCAAGCATCACCGAATCGCGTTCCTGCAACACCGACTTCTTGCTAACTAATGCGCCCCCGCGACACTAGCGGCGGAAATTGGAATATCGTATAAAAATATGGACCACATTGTCAGTTAAGTCAATAAACGGCCAGCCCATATATGTCTCACTGCTGGGCAACGGCCGCCTCTGTACAGATACTATTAGGGCATAATTCACCACGTGAACCTCGTGCAGATTGGCAAACAAAATATTTAGAAAATATGCAGGTTCCACCGCTGGGCACGTGATAATTGAGCAATTATAATTAACAATTTCAGAACTAAGGTTGGCCGGACACGGAGCTCTGCCCTTTCTCAATCAACAAGTTTTCCTACATCATTTACGCTTAAAAGCATATCGAAAAAGCAAACTTTCAACAGCTATTAACAGATATCATGATATAAAAAATTTAATGCGTTTAAATTTGAACGTTACTAATGAATTCCACACTGTGTATATCACAGTCGCTAAAACAAGGACGTATCTAATGATGGCTTCAAATCAATATCATAGCTCAAAAAACGTGACCACATCCATTTACTGTTAACGCGAACATTAGAATTTTAAATTCACGTTCATGTATTCGCCGTGCTTTATAACGATATAGAAACACAACTAGTTACTTCTTTCGCTAATCATAGTCGATATACAATCTATAGTCTGTCACTATAATTTCGGTTCCTTGTTTCGGCGCAAACACAACGAATCAATTTTTTGCGTAAAAGTGAAAAATTCTAAAACTTTGTGTTAGAAGTAGTAAATTAGAGTTCGGGAAAGTTCTCATTTTTAGATAATACTATCAATCACTCACGCAATGACTGTTGTCGGGAGCCTGGTTGATCACTCGCATTTCCTCGTCCGCCTTTGGTTGGTCTTCTAAAAGAGTCTCCATAATTGACACCAAGTCTTTACATCTCATGTTCGTTTGCCGCTTTGCTGCCTCGGCGGGTTTAGTAAGTACCTTTAATTTTTTTTTTCAATAAATTAAGACTACAAATCCGTGGTATATAGTATATATATAGGTTGTAACGCCATGCTGTGTATAGTATATATACAGTATGTCGTTACAACCACTTGCCATAGTATATATACTATGGCATGAATTCATACTCAAAGATGCGATGTTATGAACTAGACTAATTTCTCAGTGTTTATGCATACATAAACACTGAGATTTAATTAACAATAGTCCGAAAAGACCCAGAACTTATGTTTTTGATTTTTATTGAAAGAATGAAGAAATAGACCTGGAAATCACCTCTTTCAAAATCTTGACGATGCTCTCTCTTTGGGATTTTGCCTTTACTTTCTCTTCTTGGGTAAACTTTGAACTCTTATTCTGCATAGGAGACTGGAATACGTCGGGGTTTTCGGGACCCTAGAGAAATCCAATTACATCAATAAAAAATTATTTAAGTACTGGGATAAGACATTTTCCTTATAAATCAATATTATAAACTTGTTTTTATAATATCACGACTTAGCATTGAAAACTGGACAAGCAATTTCGCTGATGCTTCCACGGACATGCCCGTCCATTCATGACACACCCAGAAGAAACTTCTACGTGCCGCTATTTTTAAAACAGAGAAACGAACAGTGTCCAAATGACTGATTATTGTGCGCTTAATGGCAGAATAGTATCATTTTTTTATTTTGCTATAACAGTCTCTATCAAAATTTCAGTGCAGAAAGGCACGAATATGTATCATATTATATTGTATTACATACCACATAGCTTACTGACAGTGACCACAGGGGTTTCTAGATAACGAATAAAGGATGCAATCTTATAAACCAAACACGTCATATGTACAGATGATTATAATATAAAAATATTCGTCTAGTAAGTGTTACTTCAGCTGTTCTTCAAATTATGACGTTACATGTTTTGTTAACAGAGGAATTGTATTTTTTTTTATTTCGCATCAACTTACTTCAAACATATTAACAAATCTATTGTTGGTCGTACCTCAATTACATGATGCTTCCCAATGACGAACTCCAGTTTCTTGGACCATGGGTTAATAAAAGAAGTCCATTCAGACTCCAGTTTCAAGTAATCACCATTTTGTGTCATCATCCTTAAACACAAAACAAAATTGGCTGCTTTGAAAATAAAACTTGATGAATGACAAACGACATGAATATTCAAAAAGAAATGTTTTTTTTTTTGGTGTGTGATCGCAGTCGTACATAATTACATAGATCACACAGTGGTGATCATGGACTAGCTCTTCCCATAATATGATCCCAATATACCTATTTTTCACATCATGTGTTGATGCATCCTGGATTCATACAGGTCGGTAACCGGTATTTACACTTTTCAATTAGTATATCGTCAGTATCCCTCATCGACTATCCCGCTAGCTCTAATATTTCTTCATAATTTATTTTTATATCTTTCTTCAATCGTTCAATTCTCAGAAGCAATTGAAAGCAATCCTATTTGCACTATTCTTATATAACTTATTCTTAAGGTATTTTATTAGTGCAAAAATTTGAATGTTTGAAAGTACTCCGTCATTAGAAACTCTTAAATAGTTGACATAAAAAGAAAAGCTCGTGCCTTGTTCTTGATCTGGCGATAATTTGATCAAATATTAAAGTAACAGGCCAATTTAATTCAAGGGAGAAAAAAAGAAACAATAATTTTTCACTGAACAAAACTCTTTTCACTGATCAAACTCATCAAAAAATCAAATGGTTGCTGGTTTCTTGTATTAACTGATGTTTTTGCTTTCAGTCCCGAGACTATTAAAGCTTCATCAGACGCAGAACCGGTGGGCTAGCCAGAACCCACGGGTTTGGACGCTCCGCTGTGGGTAGGGCCGCCCACGTGCTCATGCGTGCGTTTAACTATGGTGTGTCATATAAGGGCCATCGAGGTCGCGGTTCGGACCGAAACACCGATGGCCGTCGACTGTGAAATTAGCTAATCGGTGGCTGGGGGCGGTGAGAACCGCCCTGGAATGCACCCGCATTCCAGGGCGGTTCTCACCGCCTTGTGTACGCGTTGTGTTGGTCTCGCCGTGCTCGGAGGCGAGGGCGAACTATTGTGTTTGTTGTTACACTAGCTGCGTTATCCGGCGGGACCCCGGCGGTGGGTCCGGCGTATCAAAGTCCCCTTCCTCGGGAAGGATTAGGACGTTTCGCGGGCGACGCTTGTTGACGTTTTTGTGTCGGGTTGGTAATTTGCTGCGCTTACCACCAGAGGGTTGGGATGATGTTCGGCTCTATCAAAGAACCGTTTGGTCAGGTCTTTAAAATATTCGGGATATCGTCGTTGTTCAAGCGAGTAGGGTGCGTGTGGGCGAAGGTCATGCATGCGTAGGACATAATAGGTCGTACGCAGGTCTTATATAATAATAATTTGTGCCTTACGGGCATTTTACTTTTAGCGTTAGTTAAATTGAGTAGCCGGCCGGAGACGAACGAGGCTCGATTACGAACGTTATTAATGTGCGTAGTAAATGACATACGCGAGTCAAAATTGACTCCTAAGTTTTTGACCTTTTTCTCCCAGGGGAGCGGTTGGCCATAAAGGGATATTTGCCCCAACTTTCTGCATTGGCGAGGGCCATTATAAAGATGTGACGGATAAGTACTTCGTGTGAAGTGAATTGCCACACTCTTTTCGGGATTTACTTCTATTCTCCATTTGCGGAACCAATCGCCGAAGCGGTCGGCGGCGCTCTGGAGACGAGTAGGGAGTTGATTGAGATTTTTATCTGTTGCTGGTTTATTATTGTGTGTGTGTATTGGGACTTTGTACGCACTTAAGAAATTATATCTTTTTAGCGTAGCAAATTAAAAGTAATTGCTAACGGTTTAATTAAATAACTAGGAATTACAGGTAAATGCGAAAAAGTTGTTTTGGTTGTCATGGTAACACCATCAAGTTGGTGACGCTTTTAATTGTCGCCCGTCGTATTATTTTATTCACTCTCATCATTTTTCCTAAACGCGCAAAAACAAGTATAACTCAAAAAATAGAATAAAAGTATATTTTTTTATTTATTCCGGAAGACAGACCTTTTTGACGGTCTGCGCTTGGAATTAATCGAGCAAGTCAACCACAGCACTAATTTATTACTAAAAACATCATATTATATGCCATACCTGTATATCTTAGATCTTGGTGCTGACCCCTCTTTAACTATGGTCTCGTACACCTCCTTTAAGTAAGCCAGATCGTCCGGATGGTATAAAAGCAATGTGTCTTTATTCATAACGTCCTGCGGCAAATAGCCAAGATACGTCACGGACTCGATATCCAGGTATTCCAGATTGCCGGTAGCGGTGTGTCGAATGATGAATGGCACAGGTTGCGGTATAAGTTCGTTGGCAGCTGGAGTGTGTAAAACATAAAATAATTATACTTTGAATTAGTCGATAGAACACCCTTGCTTCCTATTATATCTCTTATATTAAGACGACCCGATTGTCGTTGTGGGTAGTGTAGTAGCCTCTTGCAACACGGATCGATCCCCAATACTGGACAAAATAGTGTGTGGTTGTTTGTATATTTATAATACGTATTTATTTACAAAACAAGTATGTTATGTATAAGTATGTTTTTCAGTTATCTAGTATCCATAGTACAAGCGTTGCTTAGTTTGGGACTAGAGAACGTTGTGTAAAAATGTGTATTTCAGGAAATAGTTATATTTATTTAGGAAAAAATCATAAAACGAAAAATAGTCAAAAAAATATCCCAGGCAAATTATAATTAATCTACAAAACAACTATTGCTTCCTATTATACCTTTAACGAAATAATGAATACTAGTAACAATCAAAACATCTTGGATAAACTACATGATAAAAATTTATTTTCTAATGTGGTAGGACGGGGCTCTACCACGATCTCTCAGAAGACCGGCGTGAAGTAGAAGTGTTATACCCACTTCATTGAAAGGTGGCAACGCATTATAACTCTACGGGTGTCTTAAATGTCCATCGGCGGCGGTTATCACTTGACAACAGGTGAACCGCCAGCTCCATTGCCATCTTCTTATACATAAAAAACATAGTGAAAACGGTGTATGGAATTGAAGAAATAAAAGTGTAGAAAAAATTTGGCTTACTTCTGAACGCAGAGAAAAACGGTGTGGCCTTTATGATTAGATATGTCGCCTGTCCGTCTTGGCTGTTCACGCATTTAAACGACAATTTCAATAGGAAAGGGACAAAAGTCACGACGGTGCCCTTTACGCCGAACCCGACGGAAAGGTCCCTGTAACGGCGAATTCGGCACACCATTGACGATTCCTCAGGTGTTTGAGCTGAAGATGATGGAATGAAGATTAAATAAATATGGCGGTGATTCATGAACATAAACTTAAAAATATTTAGATTGACAACAAACAGAAGCTTCTGTTTTCGGAAGATATGGATTGGTAGTCATTGTGCAGTAACTTTTAACCCAAAGAATATTTATAATATAGCCGGTAATGTATATTAATAATTTATATCAGTGTGCAAAATTACTATTCAAATAACCCTATCAGAAAAACGATACGATCTGAATAAACTAACCGTTTTTAAATTTATAACAAATTTATTTAGGTTTTATATAATTAATTATATCCCTGATATAATTAATTATATAAAACAATCAAACGGGTCAAAACGGACTGACGACAAAAGATGGAGGTGAGAATATATCTAGAGCTTAATATGGTTTGAAGCAAAAACCAAACGCATGTGTTGCATCAGTTACGAACGGACGAACTTCACACTGCATATGAAGTTAAAATAAAACATATATGTCCAACCATAATATACATCCCCCAATACCTAATGCTCTACTGTACCTGATCTGATAGATAACGTTTAAGCAAAAAACTCTGCAGTCAACCTGTGAAAAGTTTTTGTTTTATTTAAATAAAACGTTGCACAGTTAGATAAATGTAAGACTGTGTTGTAAAAATAAACATTTATGTGGAAAAAAATTATAAAACATAGAGCAATAACGAGATACGAAAGAATTTTCATACAAATGGGAGACGTACAAATTCCGTTGATACCAGATTTGGCAAGAGCACCGTCAAAGGGTATCGCCAACCTACCCAAAAAACTTATCAAATCCCAAAAATATATAAAGGAAAGCTAAAATTTAAAGCGGTGTGGCAATCAGCGGTTTATTTGCAATAAATCTGGTCTAAACAATTATTGCGCGCAATTTATTGCATTCAATTATTGCTCTTGTATGTACAAAAAAATGGCATCGTGTAAATGGGCCTTAACACTCATGCAACTACAATCTAAGCGACGGATGTTTAGTGGCGCATTAGATTATTGAAATAAGTTACCTTTCTGTATCGTACCATTTGTATTTTTTTGTAAGGCTAAGCCGTCTGTTATCTGCGAGGCGAGCTCGTTGCGATCCTGTAACGTTATATTACGAAACAACATTAAACATCGAAGATATCACGAATAATTCGTGTATTTTATTCTAGAAAAAGGAATGTTGTCAATACATAATCTGTAATTGTTTCTAAGGCTCTGAAAATCTTATTTGAATATAAACCAAACGCTAATAATTATATAAATGCATTACGAAGAATAACAATTTTGTATACTTGTAAATCTTTCGATTATGCAAATGGTAAATTGTAGTAGACATTGTCATGATTTTATATAAATATTTTTATATAAATGTTAATAAACGAAAGTGTTGTATGAAAACATTAACTTCATTCTAATTGCCTTTTATTCGTCAATAGCGGCAAACATAAGTTTTAAATTGGTGTGTGAATCATTAAATTTCGATTAATAAGTTATGGTGTAATACAGGCATAATATTATTTTACATCTTTAAATTTCCAAAAACGTTTAAATCCAATCCGTTTCCAAAATCATTAAATTTATAAACCTTACCCTCGGATGGACGAAATCTATAAATGATCTGCCAAGCCACATGTCTTTCGGGAAACCGAGCGTTGTAGTTAGTGATGCGGTCGTATACATAACCACTCCATCTTCCAGAGATATTACACACGAAAATCCAGCCTAAGAAAGGACAAAAAAGACGCTAATTTTAAATTACAATATAAAAAAACATGTTAAATGTTTCTGATTTACTTGGCCTAACGACCCGTTTCTAAAACACTGATCATCGTTGATTATATAGATTCCGAGCAATTCAGAGAGTTTAACAATCCTTTTGGCAACTCAAATAACATTTGAAAAGCCATTTCACAGCTGATTAGTTATCTTCTACGATGATCAGTGTTTGAGAAACCGAACGTAACATTTCTAAATTCACCTCGATGTTTAACCTTTGACAGTCCCCTCGAGAACGTGATCAAAGGACTCGTTTTAAAAATTAGTTCGAAAAAAAAAGAAGGAAAGTGTTGAGCGAAACAAAATGGAATAATTTCAAACACTTCGCAGGGCTTCCTTAAAGCAACCCTTTTCTTGGCAATAAGATATACTTTAAATTTTATTTCGAAAGTTAGAAACAACTTTTTAATGTGTTTATGAGCTAGGGGAAGTGAGATTGGAGTGAGAAGCCGGTATTAAAATATTCACTTTATTGACTACTTAATAAATAAAATGTCAATAAATGGTTATATGGGATATCTCTGTACATTTCACACTCAACAATAACACTGTAAGTATATGATAAAATTATGTGAAATATGATCAAACGGTTAAACTAAACATAAAATAAGTTTTATTTTCGTCTCAGAAATGTAAAAGTTGCCTTCACCAAAGTATGTACTGGGCTAAACCAACTGAAACAAAGGAGCTATTTGAAGGTATTGGAACCAGTTAAACTTAACTTCTTGCACTTGAAAAAGAAACTACGTTGTTCGGTAAGGACTCTTATCAAAAATATACGTTTGACACGTTAAAAGTACAGCAAGCTGGACATAAAATATTATATTTTTGTCATAGGAACAGATCGTAGCGACTTGGTCTGTCAGCTTATTCTCCACACGGAATAATACTTACGGGCTGTTTGAAAATATAAAATATTTTTAAATGACGCGCAAAAGATCAAAATCATTAGTCTTCCATCTTTAATAGGAAGATTTTTTGAGAAGCGCCCAGATTTTTTTCCAAAAAAAAATGCCATTCTATTAAAAACAGAACGTGTTGACTGACAATGCGGTAGTCATTCATAAATACCTAAATTTTACTATGCACGAACTTGTGTGCGTTTTAGTTATAAATGATCACGCGTAAAATAAATGAGTTAGTTGCGTATGAATCACGCACTTTTTGAGATAAGTTCAAATTAATGTAATTAATTACTTAAGAGTGATTTTAAATATTTATTATTTTTTATATAACATTATTTATGTCTAGCATTTAATTTAAAAAAATGCACACACTTAGAAAAGTCACCCTGTATATACGCCATTGCGCGCAAAAAAAAGAAAAGAGTATGCATAAGGTCTAAGACTCATCATGTCGTATTGTCGTCGCGTTGCGATAACATACTTTAATACTTTAGCGATTGCGTTTTATCACGGGCGAATGACCTGAGATTCCACATCCGACGGTAAAATTCCGCACTAACATAATAATGTACTAGCCCTAGCATAACGTACACAAAAGTTCTGCTGGCTGTATAATAATGAATACAAAAAAATAAAGGTAATAGCTAAAGAATATGGTTTTATTAGCGTTCGAATTTCAAAAATTACTTCATATTTTCATGCTTTTCTTTGTCTATAGAAAAAAAAATTGTCATTGAAAACAATGGTCCGCGATAAAATGTTGTCAAGATAATACACATATTTATTTTCATGCATTAAAATATATACAATGTAGGGTACATTGTATATTATAAGACCATACAGAGCGCCTAAGTGAATTAATACTAGTTTAAATTTGATATTTTATGTTAAGCATATTACTAAAGTGGTAAATAATAATTATGTTAGTTGTAACAAAATAAGTGGAACACAATTTTTTATTGAAAATGAAATAAATGAGCCGAAAAAACATAAAGGTGTAACAAAATCGGAAGTGGGGTTCTTCCAAAACTGTTATTCGTATTATTGTCGTTAAATAATTAGTGAAAAGTATTTTTTAATATTTCCAAGGATACATAATAAAAGGAGAATACACTTACAGCACAAGTGGACCGTGGTCGGCCGGTGACGTAATTCAACGAGGCATTAGCCTTGTGCACTTCATTCGGCCCGAACTGCAAATTGAAAGGAGCATCAAATCCGGCCCAGGTATTAAAACCAAAAACGTCAGTCCTAAATACGTCCGTTATGATGGTACCGACGTAGTGAATATCAAACTTTTAAAAAATACATTAGGAACGGTTAATCAAAATGTTCGTAGACGAAACGTACAGTCAGCGATATGTTATACATATTTGTAAATATACATCGGCTCGTCTATGTGGGAGCACAAGCTTTTTTGCAACATTTCGATTAGTACTGCCGCCATAGAACCCAGTGGGGCAGGGCTGCGAAAGGAACGACCGTCGGGCGACAACTAAATGAGTGGAATGTGAACACGTGACAGTCGCCACGGCAAAATTGCAAGGCACCTTGGAAAGTTACGCCCCTCGTCATAATTTTCTAAAGAAAGGTAGTGACTGTCGCGCACGAACATCCATAAGAACCATAATGGACACAGTTTTGCGCAACTGTATACTTCATTGTGTGGAAGGGGAAGGGGAATCAGACTCAACGCCCACTGCAAACTAGACAGATCTATTGTAGTGAACTGTATACTTACTAACTACCTAGTTACAAAAATTTATCATTATGACTTGTTACAATTAACTGTATAAAAAATTGTCCAGTATTTGAACATTTAAATACTACGAGCTTCTAGAACTTAGGTGACCACCGCAATATTTATGATTATTTCATTAGTTTAAGTGTTACACAGAATTATTTACAATACTTGCATGAAAAATAGGGTTTTTTACAATCTTAAAATGAAAAATATTTGCAATTTACGTTCCGAAATAACTCATAACAGATAATGTAACCCCTGTTGAGTTCACATTATTCGTTATGAGTTACTGCTATTCGAAACCTCTAAAAAAAAGTAGAATTACGAAAGGGGTTTTATATGCAAAGATATGTTCTAATATTTAAGTGGTAAAAAGTGGATACTCACAAAATCGTCCTTTGTACTTGAGCTCTCTGAGGTGCCGATATCCATGCTCTCTGGTTCCGTTTTGGGTTGCACAAGTGTCGGCGCTGGCACGACGTTAGCTGAACGTAAACATTTCACATCATTGATAAACTTGAGCAGCGAATAATTCGCCACGCTGGTACATCTCTATATAAATAAATTCTAAACCCTTACTAGCTAACCTAAAAGAGAAAACCTTCAAAGGGCAAGTATAATCCGCGAAGAGATCAAATATTCCAATCCTAAGGTAGAAGTGTCTAAAAACTTCACATTACAAACAAAGTTTTTTGACATGGTGGTGACATAAAACGCATGGTGATAAGCCATGCGTTTCATGATGCAAAGTATGCACACTAACAGCTGGTTTCTACATTCTATCTGTAGATTTGGTTACTAGCGATAGGTATCAGACATTAGCTCCATAATACGTCAAAATTATATTACCAGTAACCAAATCTACAGATGCTAAAAATGCAATAAACAAAATAGAAGGCGAGATTTTCACGCATCTTGACTAAGTTTGCTCGCATTAGCCCCCAGGCGATTTACGAAATATGCTGGTAATCCAGCGAATACACAGATTCGAAAAGATTTGTACATGTACAAAACTTCACATTTTAGTTCTTATCGTAAATCTGTATTGTAAAAGAAAGGTGTTATTGTAAATACCTCCCAATATGCCTTTCATGAAGGGATATTTGTTAGGACCTTTCCTCCTAAGACATAAGGTATCTTTCGACAATCACCTCTCGTTCATCCCCCCCCCCCCCCCCCCCCCTCAACTAAAGGTATAAATGTATAATCATTATTGAAATAACGTAACGCACCATTCCCAGGATCTTCTTTCGGCGATTCAGAAATCCCAGTCGACACTGGTAGGATCTCACCGTCATTTTGCGCCTCTGGTGATACATCCGACTTCGTTTGGTTCTTAGTTTTCAAATCATTCTCTTTTATTCTTTTTTCGGGCGGGTGTATAGTGCTGTTACGAAAAGAATTACATTAGACAAAAGATTTGCACTATTAAGAAATCGCAGCCGACATTGGTGGGCTCTCACCGAAAGCAGCAGTACAGTCTTTACGGTAACTTAGTAAAATTTTATTCCTGAAATATGTCTAAACTTTAGGTATTTGTGTTTTTTAATAGTTCAGTTCAATGCTAAATGAAAATAAGCTGAAGACTTGCTTGGTCTGTGACTACAGTTCTAGTTCAAGGTAGACGACGAAAGCAATGGCTGCTAAAAACATACAGAAAATTTTAATTGAAACTCACCTGTATCCTGGAGTAGACGGCTTCCCTCCATAACCACTACTTCCACTCGAATGACTTCCGGAATGAGTTGATTTGGAACTGAGGTATAAAGTAAATTATATATCAGATTGATCATGAATTGAGATAGAAATAGAATAACTTATAATAGTTACGCCCGCCGTGACTCTGTGTGTGTTTTTCATTCTATTCACTGTAATTTATGATGAAATAGTTTTTGAACCTTGGCCTCTTGAACAAATGGTTCATTTTGGTCAATTTGAAATAAAATAGTTAATTTTTATCAATCAAAATGAGAGTGCGATTTTCTTGTAACATATTCGTATGTCCTAACTGTTTACTTTACTGTCCGAATCGGCAAGCTCGTTCAGGGAAGGACCGGGGGTCACAAAACACCGGCGTAAAGAGGATACTTATTACTTTCGCCTTTCACCTGGTGAGTGGGGTAACAGGTTCCCACTTTTAAAAGGTGCTCAACGCATCTGCAACCCGTAAGGTGTTGTGAATGTCCATGGGTGACGGTAATCACTTAACATCAACCGAACATGAACCGGCTGCTCAATTGCCAAAATTTATATAAGAAATGATTTAATGGAAACAATAATTAATCCGCTAATATCTTTATCAATTGAACAACGACCGATACATATCCAATAAACAAAATCAATTAAAAAACAATGAAATTATAGCCGTGATAGCTCAGTGTCCGGGCGCTCGCCTTTAATTCAATATACTCGAGCAACCTGAGTTCGATCTCCGGTACCAATGAAGTTTTTAACTTTAAGTGCTGACTTATCACGTGCTCCGCGGTGAAGGAAAACATCGTGAGGAAATCTGCATATTTTCGAAATAATAACAAAAAAAAATATATTTCGAAAATATGTGAAGTCCGCCAATCCGCAGTGGGGCCACGTGGTGGACTATGCCCTGATACCCTCTGTATAGAGGAGGCCTTTGCCCAGCAGTGGGACATGTATAGGCCTGTTACGTTACGTTACGTACGAAATTATAAATTGTTCTACTACATTTTACTAGATTGTTCTATTACAGTTTTTGTTAATTTCATTTTGGTAACAAAATATTTTAAGTAAAACTTCAATGAATTTTAAACATAAAAAATAACTTAGATATAAATTTTGTTATTATAAATCTAGTCGAAAAATATTTTAGATACCTGCGTCTAGATTGACTGTTGCTACAACTATTTGAATAAGCTGAATCTGATTTCTTGGCATTTTTCCCAGACTCATCCATGTTGTCCATGTTCATTATAAAAAACGGGAATCTAAAAAAATTGCAAACACGGTAAAAAAATATTAACGACGAAGTAGGGCAAACGTGATTCCAAACATTAATTACAAAAGTTTCGCCAACAGTTTTAATGCTTCCCTCCTTAACGGCAACGTGAACATTGTTTGTTTTATAGGTAGCCATTTAATTATAGATGGCACAAAATGCCCTAATTAATTCACAGTAATGCGAACACGGATTTAATAAACGAAGTTCAAACAACAAATCTCTTACATAGCAAATAATTATTAGAATAAATAAATTGCGATAGGCCGATTGGCGCAATTGGCTTCGGGCTGTGTTTAAAATACTTAATATTAGTATCCCTACACACAACGATTCTTTATAATGTTATTAAACGAGGAATGTCCAAATTTGAAGAAATGTATTGAACAAATGCATACGTCTTTTGGTTCAACATATACAGCGTGTCTTTACAATCGCGACAATAAATGAACACACATATAGAGGATAACTTTTTAAAATTGTATTAAACATTAATTATTTAAACATCAATATTTACAGGGTAATTAAATCTTCGAAAACAAAAAATTATAGAACACCCTTACGTATAAAACTGTAAAAAAGTAAAGTAAAGTAACAGCCCTATACATGTCGCACTGCTGGGCAAAGGCCTCCTCTATACAGAGGGTGTCAGGGCATAGTCCACCACGCGGCCCCACTGCGAATTGGTGGACTTCACATATCTTCGAAATACATTTTTTTTTGTTATTATTTCGAAAATATGCAGGTTTCCTCACGATGTTTTCCTTCACCGCGGAGCACGTGATAATTCAGCACTTGAAAGTTAAAAACATTGGTGCCGGCACCGGGGATCGAAATCAGGTTGCTCGAGTATATATTGAATTAAAGGCGAGCGCCCGGACACTGAGCTATCACGGCTCATAAAATTTTCATTTGTAAAGGTCACAAAGCATATGAATGGGTTGAATGAATTTAAAAGAGACAAAACATACTGTTAGAAGGAGAGGCTAGTAATGCGACACTGTGGCAACTAATGAAAGTCTCTGAATGTATGAATCAGTCCGTTGTAGTTGTATGAGATGTTTTTCTTTTTTACTTAATTTGTTTGAAAAAAATTTTTTTTTAATTATGTATTTTTTTAACGTAAATATTTTTTTATGATTTTTGGCAAGTGTGTTCGTGTGTTCATTTATTGTATAGGTGATCAAGACACGCTGTATATGTGAGTCAGCTTTTTCCTACCTGAAACAAAATCAATTAACACCATTCTCGATTTACAGACGCTCATACATTAGATTCCTTTGTTGTCATTTTCCAACTACAAACCTGGTTTTTTAATCCAGCACAAGATACTTAAACGCAATGCTCACACTTAAATAGAATTTTTTACTTAAATAAGTAGTTACTGAGCGTAATTTTCATTTACCTTTTAATAAAATGAAAAATACTACATGATTGTGTACTCTAAAAAATAAATTCGGATGGTTTAATTAATTATTCAGGTTTACCTAAATATTCGGTTTACAGCTTTATTATGCACTAGCTGCTGCCCGCGACTACGTCTGCGTAGAATAGGCTGAAGGCGTAACATTCAGACAGATATACATAAATGATGTGTTCTTTTTTTCATTTAGAAAATTGAGCAGTAAGTTTTGAAACCATAATTATAAGGCTCCGCTTGACGAAAAATTTACTTTAATACTAATCAGTAAGTGAAGTCTTTGGCAAGTTTAAAACAGGCGTAGCGTTAGGATTACAAAGTCTCTTTGAAATATTTATGTATTTTAATCAAAAATAAAAATGTGAAATATGTAATAGACTTATAGTTTAACATATTTAGAAAACAAAAAAACAATATTCAAAAGTTTAATTATGATTGAATAATAATAGATCAGTAGCAGTAAGCAGTCACTTGTCAATACATTTTAAAATCACACCTATATCAACGAAGCAACTATTTAAATTTAAAAGGCAATCAATAATTAATGGTATATGGAAGATTATTTATGCCAAAATAAAATATCTTCACTATATTTTACATAATAGAGATATTAGTAAAGATATCGAATTTATTTCAATTTTTCTAATAAAAACTGAACATATCAAATGATAAGTGGGTGATTTATGAATTCTTAGCTAGATTTAAATTTTGCGATTAGCCCATGAGTGTAATTAACTTGAGTATATATGGGATTAGCGATTTTAGAATTATACTATAATAAAATTAATTAATTGCTAATGTAATAGCAAAAATAAGGTTATTTTATTTTGACTTTACGTCAAACAAAATTTTTAAATCAGAAAACAAATTATTCCTGTGAAAACCTTATTTATATTTCGATGAAGTTTGTCACCAAAATATGAGATAAGAATGAAATATGAAAATAAGAAAGACCCCGTTAGGCTAATGAACAAATTATGTGCTTTATGACTACAAAAGACATCATGGATACATAAAATGAAATAGTTGTATATATCCATAATATATCTGTATAAAATGAGAGAACTGTCTAATTATGATGTTTAGTTCTCTTGTAGCTTTAATATAATCATTTAGCAGCATTATAAGAAAAAATTCAATGAATGCTCACTGTGCTAGCAACTGGTAAATCAATACTGATTTATGCCCTCATGAGTGACAATTCAGCGCACACATACTCAAATATATCAGAAAACACACTTTCCAGTGAGATTTCGAGTCAATTGATACAAACATCAAAGTGGCCATACTTGTGCAGCATTAAATCTTTTAGACAGAAAACTTAGCTTTTTATCAGTACAAAATATTTACTAATAATGCACAGCAATATTGTTTAGTATCTTATTTATGAAATCCATGAAACCAAAATTGATAAATAGCTATTTTAAAATTATCCAAGACATAATACTTCAAAATAAATTTCAGCAAGTATTTAATAAAACAAGAAAAATTAGGAAAAGAATGGTCTATTAACATGAAAAGATAATTTAACTTCATAAATAAATTATATAGTGGGGCCATGATAGTTCAGTGTCCGGGCACTCGCCTTGTAATCCAATTTACTATTCCATCCCTAGTGCCCGCACCAATAATATTCTTAGTTTTAAGTTTTGACTTTAGATGCTCAGCGGTGAAGGAAAACATCATGAGGAAACTTGCATAGTTTTCAAATAAGAACAAAAAAATATTTCGGAACTATGTTAAGTCTACCAATACTCAATGAAGTCACGTGGTGGACAATCCCCCTGATACAATCTTTACATAGGAGGCCTTTGCCCAGCAGTGGGACATTTATAGGCTGTTACCTTATTTTTACTGGGTTAACAAACATTCGCAAGGATAAAAGATAAAATTAGGGACAATTAAAATTGTTAGGATTTATTTTTCGTATAAGAATCCAAGGACTACTATACTTAAAATTTACATAATAGTTTAAGGATCCAGAAACACACAGTTAAAGCACACTGAAAAAGCCACAACATCAGACCACAAATTGGGATGAGATTATAATCTCATTGGATGATTAACATGTAATTCCAAAATTTTGGATTAGATATAGATCTAAATAGATTGAGAGATTTGAGATTTCACATAGAAGCCTACATAAGGAAACCTAAACATTTGACTAAATGCATGAAATTTGAGGCACATAAAAAGCATAAGCATTAAGAGTAGCCCCAATTTAATCAGTTTTAAGTATATTTAAATTGGGGTGATTTTTATAAGTATTTTTACAATTAAAAGTCCAACTTTAGGCATACTGAAATTTAAATGTCAAACATATATAGTGATAAACTTTCGTACTTAGATAACATATAAAATCATAACACTCGCTCAGTCATTATGCGCATAGCAAATTTAAAAGTTATAGAAAAATTACCTGTTGTTATTGCTTTAACCCCATATCGAAAGCTGTGTTTACGACGATGTACTAATTGTAACTTAAATCACAAACTTAGGGGTAATATAGTAAATTAATTTATTACAGAAGCGATGACCCTAGCACTCGAAACAAATTCAAGTAGTTAATTTTTGTATTTTTTTAACATAGCAATGTAAAAATATACGAACTCGAGAGTTTATACTAAACTAAACGTTTGCTTGGCTCTTGTTAATTTGCTACTTAGTTTCAATTTAGCTAGTGACGCTCCGATGCATACATATCGATACTTTTTCCACTCTTCACAGTTCTAAAAATATAAGTTTACTATTATGGTTATTGCAACACGTATGTATATTTCTGACACTAAAATAACAGCCTACTTTAATCCCAAGACGGGGCAAATGCCACGAGCAAATTTAGAAAGTGTTTTCGATTTCCAAGTCCAACTAATTTAATTCATAATTATTAATACTAATAATTATGTTTCTATTAAAATGTCTGAAATGTCGATTTGCAGGGTGTAAAGATATAATTAAACAAAATATTAATTTGTTTTTACTATTCATAATATTTTACAAGTATGTTAAATTATTGTAATCATTAACTCATTGTTTACTACTTTGCATTTAACGTCCTTTAAAATAACAAAGTAACAAATCAACGTTAATTCAACGTGTGACATGGTATTATACACGCACCTTCAAAGTTGCATTAAATTAAAAAAGAACAATCCGTTATCTCATAGAGATAAAGGAAAATATTAATTTAGATAGACGTCGATACGACTACGACTATTCATTAAAATTACTATACATACGTAATTTTTGAAGTTATATTTTAGAGCGTTCGGAAAAAATCATGAAAGTAAATTTTTTTCGCACACCGACACCGATATAATAAAGCTGGAGTTGATTGCAAAGCGACCAACTTCACGGTATTACCTTTTGCAACCAATAACAATTTTTTGACATTTACATATAATTTTAAGATAATGAAATAAATCGTTAGAAGTTGCAATTAATCTCTTTTTAACAAACAAAGAGAACTGGCACATGAAATAAAATTTTAGTTTTTTTACATTTAGATATCAATCTTAAAACGCAAAAATATTCACATAGAATTATTATAATAAAAATATTTTTCATGGGTTGGGCCCATCACTACCATTCACGCTCCAAAACACGTGAGTTCACTGTGCGAAGGAAATGTTAGATATCGTTGTTTCATTCTGTCATGTATTTACAGCACGTGACAATTAAAATGGAGCTGTACAAGCATGTGACGTCGTGATTCACGTGTACATCTGTTACGTATATTTTTGAATCCATGTGAAAGTTGAAAAGTCCTTAACATAAAAAAGGAAGCCTTTCACGATTTATTATTCTGGACGTACGTTTTGTTGAATACCCTCTTCCAACATAGGTAATTCAATGAATCCCAGATTATACTCTGATTATAGAAATATATGAGTTTCATCAAGACGTTTAGGGCTATGGCGGACTAACTGGAGGGAGGAAGGAGCGGTCCGCCCCGGGCTTCTGGCCCTGTGCGGCCCCTAAACGCCCTCATGTTCCCTTGAAATATTGGTAAATGTTCAGGCCATTGACGGGCGCATGTTGCAATTAAAAATAATTTTAATCGATAAAGAATATCGCAATAGAGTGGTATAGGAAGCCCCGAGAGGGTGGAAATAGGAAATATTTTTAGGGTTCCGTACCCAAAGGGACTCTATTATTAAGATGTTGTCTGTCTATCTGTCTGTTACAAGGCTGTACCTCATGAACCGTGATAGACATTTGAAATTTTCACAGAGAATGTTTTTCTGTTGCCACTACAAGGACAAGTAGGTACTAAAAAAAAGGATTTTTTTAAAGGGAAATATTATTCGGGTTTGCTATTAAACAGTGGCGGATTTAGCAGCAGGCTAAGTAAGATAGAGAGCCTCTAGTCTTAGGGCTTAGTCACCCACGGCGAAGCTAAGAGGAACCCACACGGGACCGGCTTGTGGTGTAAGGCCGGCCTGAGAGGGCCGCTCCGAGTGGGCTCATTTATCCCCACTCTGGATGCGTGCTGGAGGGTACAGGGGACAGGTTGAGGGTGGTGGAGGAGGAGCCACTCTCCCTGTATTCTGCTACCGAGGAGGAGTTGCGGGGGAAGAGGAGTGCCAGTATTGCGTTTAGCTGTTCTCCGTGACTGGGCGGGGCTGCACCGTTGATGAAATGGTGGTGGGGCCGCGAGGGGAGATGAGTGTCGGTATTGCGATGCGCCGTTCTCTCTACCCTCCGCGGCCGAAACGTGGTGAGCGGCGGAGCCACAGACCAGGTCCGCCGCTGGGGGCTGGTAGGCTTGCTGCTTATTTGCACAGGCTCTCCTGGCTCCCATGGCCCCGGTCAGCGAACTCGGGCGAGTTCGTTGGACATGAAAATGGGGACGAGTAGGAAGGCGCGCTGACTGTTCCAGCGTGCCTTACCTGGAGGAGAGGGGAGTTGTTCCCCGTGAAGGGGCTGCTTAGGCCGCCAGTCCTGGTAGGGTCGCGGAAGTGTGTGACAGCGTGCCCGTGACCGTGCCGATATGCGCCTGGGTGGAGCATCGTGGGGGTTTTAGTCGGTGCGAGTCCGACATAACCCGCTCTTGCTCCCGTGAGGGCGGGTATGCGTAGGCATTTCCCCCACGTAAACAAAAAAAAGTATGATAGATAATGATAGTTAAAATTATTGTATGTTTATCTCTTTGTCTGTGTGCGCTAACTTGGCTAAAACAGCCTTTCCGATTTCAGTGCAACTTTTACAAATGCATTGTAGTAAGCTTCTCTTAACATTTATTGTTAGTTTTATTTAAGTCGGATGATAAATAAAATAGTTACTTTTGCACTAGGAAACGGATCAACAACGGTCGCAATGTAATGCCACAAATGATGTAGTGAGAAAATTTCTTTAAAGAGACGAGAATGACAATATTTTAGTTTTATTTTAACTGTTTTTGTTTACAAGTCATTGCTCAACTCATTATCAAATATGAGTTTGGTTACAAGAGAATAAATTATTATTATTTATTATGTAATCAATAGTGTTATTTAAGCTAGTGCTATTCAGTGGGTTAAAGTTAGATTACTTAAGAGATAATGTGCGATTTATCGGACAAATCTTTACATCAAAAGGGAAACTCAAAGAATTGAGCGAAAAGTAAGTGATTTTTATTAAATGTAATCTTGCTTATAGTCTAGTCAACAAGTGCTTTTTTAACGAAAACCTGTTTAACTTCACGAAAATTATGGTTTTATATGGCACAAGAGAAATACATAATCTCTGAAAATTTCAACTGTCTAACTATCACAATTACGACATGAGATACAACGTGGAGCCTGGTGGCAGACGGACAGACAGACAGCGGAGTCTTAATAATAAGGGTTCCGTTTTACCCTTTGGGTACGAACTCTAAAATATTATTTAAACCAAATAAAATAGAATATTAAGGAATAAAAAATATAGTTCTTTCTACACACTTGAATAAATAATAATATGACGAAAAAAAATTAAGATTATTTCTATGTAGTCTAACCCAGAATATTTTTGTCACTTCTTGAAAGAGTTTAGAAAAGATTACCAAAAAAATCTAAGGCATTGAAATATGAAAAACGTTAATAAATCAATCAAGATTTTTTTAATTATTCAGTTCCTGTAAAAAAACTACTTGAATTGTTAAAATAATTATTATAAATAAATACCTACATTGTTTATAAGATTTTCAATTTTTTTCTTTTAGGAATATGATGCTGATGGAATATATTGAATTAGAAGTACATTCATTTTATACATGAATTAAATAATTAACTGTTGAGTATTGATACCAATATTTTTTTTATTAATTATTAAATATGTAAATTCTTAAATAATCAACAAATTTACATTAAAATATAATGGTTGTGTTGCACGTGAATCTGAAAAGCGAGCCAGCACTAGATATTGCTGGCCCTTTAAAGCATGTAATTTCAACAAATATCATATTCACGAGATACAGTAATTCTTCTTAATAAGTAGGCACTGACGTAAAGTGATGATTTAGGTTTCATTTTTAGAAAATGTCCTTTTATCCCTGTTGTCAGGGAATGAAAAATATCATTCGAATATGAAATTTTGCCGCAAAAGAAAATGTTATAATAGCTCCGTCGGTAATCGAACGACCCCAAAACAGACGGCCATGGTAAGTGTCACGATCATTTACACACTTTTTTTTTACTTTTTTTCGATTCCAGATCATTGCTTTCTTTATTTTTTATTTTTTTTTTGATCCAGATGATTTTGTTATTTTTTTCCTTTTTTTAATGTTGTTTCTTTTGTGAAAAACACCACTCCACAGATCGAAAAATATTATGCATATTTCATTACTCAGTAATTTGTATCGGAATGTAATTTCCAAAATACACGATGTACAAAAAAAAAACAAACCCCCCCCCCAGGTACTTTATTTTACGCGCGATCAATCTCACACTCGCACAAGTTCACGCACAGCAAAATTTAGGTATTTATGAATGACTACCGCATTGTCAACACGTTCTGTTTTATAGGGAATAGAATGGCATTTTTTTTGGAAAAAAAATTTTTGAAGTGATACTTCTTTATCGGGGTTGGAAAAAAATGTAGTGTAACATTTTTGCGTTACGCGCCATCTTTTTCTTATCTTAAAATGTTCCTCTACCGCCATCTAGTGTTGAATAGGGGGTTTTATGTCGTCTTTATTCTTTAGTGGTTTTAATAGTTGACGCTAGATGGCGTTAGTTCCTTTGTGTGTTCATAACAATATATATATATATATATATATATATATATATATATATATATATGTGTTATATTAAAGTGATCAGCAAAATCAAAGGGTTTATTTTAATTCTAATTCTAAAATGTAAACAATATATTTCGTATTTCAGTTACCAAAGGTCATTAATAACACAAATATATAATAACGACATCAATGATAATAATAATTCTATTACAATTAATGAAATTCAATAATAATATTTGTAGTAATGACAGTGCTAGCTCTAATACTTCAGAGCACGACACTGTGTCGACTTCCTCTTCTCCAAAGGCAGGCACCGCCGCCCACCGTGACCTGACTGCGCCTTCCACCGAAGACACAATCTGAAGCTGACCGATGATGCTCTTCGAAGCCTCGATCGGCTCCTGGAACTTGCGGTTGCGACGTTGATCCAACGTCCGCAAGTTCGGTTTTCCAAAAAAACTTCACTCACTCACAACACTCGCGCGCGAGTCGAATGTCTGCCTTCTACTCACTGGCTGACTATTCGGTAACGAAGGACCATATACAAATTCAAAGCGGTTGTATTTTGGGCCCGTGAGGTTGATTGAAATAAACATAGAATTTGTATTTATGTCTATGATAATAAAAGCCTTTTATTAAACTTTATCTAATTTAACTTTATTTAACCAATTTCTGTAAAGTTGCATATAGTAAATTATTTTTTGAAAAATAACGTCATACAAAAGTTTCACTTCTTACGCGTGTACGCTAGTACACGCACACATTTTTTTATTTCAATAAACGACTATACTGCCGAGTCTGAACCTCCTGTGTAAGGGCACTTCTCAAAAAATCTCCCTGTCTAGTTTATAATAGTCTGAATATTTAGTGTCCAGAAATTCGTTACATAATAAAAATAAATGTTGAGAGTTGAATTGACGTTTAGGCCTATCCATATTTTTGATATAACATTTCAAAAAAAATGATGTATCAATGATACTCATCCAGGTAGGTAAACTAAACATTTCAAGTTGTCTACTTGAATGCATGGATACCAAAGAGTACTTTTATATATCTGAAATCTATATATCTTTTATATATCTGTTCATTACCTAGTGTGTGTGTAGTGATGGGCCGTAGGATACTATCGATAGTATCATGGAAAGCTTTCGAAAATGTACATAGATGATCACTATAATATCTTTTATAGACCATGATTGTATTTTACTTTTATAATAGGGAATACTAATAAACAAACAAATATAAAGTATGAGAAAGCAATCAACAATTTTAGAAAATCTACTTCCTGTTTATTATTATTTTTTTAATTAAATAAAAAAGGAATTATTAAAAATACATCTTAGTCAAATAAATTAATAAAGGCAAATTACTCATAATAACTATTTTTTGTTTTCATGGTTTATATTGTTATTTTAAAGAAATGGCTCATAAATTTTTTGCAGAAATTACGAATACAACTTTTTTTATTACATTTCTTTATATATTAGGAATTTTAATTTATCCTTTAAATGTTCAAGATTTACTATGTTATATTACTTTCTCAACTAAAATTAAATTTAAAAAACTATCGATAAAATCTTTATTTGTATCGATAAATGACAGCAATTATAACAAGAAGTACAGAATCGAAATTTTGTCACTTTCTACAAACCTCTTATAGCCTATTGGTCAGAGCGTTATACACAACTATTGCTGTAGTCTCGAGTTCAAACCCTCATCGAGTGGAGTTGTATATTTTATATTATTTTCACTTTTAATTTGTTAGCCAACAAGTGATTTTGTTTTCATTTTATAAAATGGCTCAATTTGGGAAATAAACAAATTAATAAGAAAAATTATAAAACAATTATTTTTCGTGTATAACATAAATCTTCTTTTAAGGGTGAAATATTAAATATTTTAATAAACAAATAGATGACGTTAAATATTTTAATACTAAAAGTTGGTTTATTTACTGATAGATTGTTCTCTAACTGTGTCAACTTTGAACATATACAATAATATTTGGTTGTAATTATTTATGAAAATAAAAAATCAACAAAAATTAAATGGTAATTAAGAAATATTTCCAAATAAGAAAATAAACAATAAGAACAACAAAAAATTTAGGGATTTGAACCCAATCCATAAAGAATGATGGTCCTATACACTGTATGTATAGGACTGATAGACCAATCACGAGATAAGACATTGAAATTACACTTTAAATAAATTAATTAACAACTGTTAATACATACAAATGATTTATAAATACGAAATATGTGAATATATATTTTTTAGTTTCGTGTTTTGGAAGGTCTTATAATATTAAAACTGTCAATAATAAATAAATACGAAATATATTTCGTAACGGTGAGCGGGCGATGAGCGGCCTAAATCCATCTAGCAAAGTGCCTCAGCGCTCTCTGTTCAACGTGTGGAAGTTGAGTTGGAAGAGAACCGAAACAACGCCGCGGTGGCGCGGTGTTTTGGCCATCGCGTTCGAATTAATTTTAATGAATTAAATTAATATTTACAAATATCTTACATCAATCAACAAATTAAAACAACAATCCTTTTTATTAATATATTCTACACCACTGATATTAATTTCATTAAGATTTGTTGATGTATTACGTTCATTTTTGGATTTGAATTTCTCTTTTAGAGGTAGTTGCATGATTTTTTTCTATCGAGAAAATATATCGAGAATATTTTTTGGAAACAATGTTCCATTAGAATGTACGATCAAGATTAACATATATTTTTTTGCTGCTATAAAATGTGTAGATTTTGCTAAAAATCTTTTGAAAAATTAAAACCTATTTTTACTGCATACAGCGCCTTAAATCATATCAACACATCTGTCTTAATTTATTTACTTATACTCCTATCATTTCTCAACAGACCATAAATTCAGTTTTTATTATATTTTGAAGTTTTAATTAACTAAAAATTTATTTTTATCTTTTTCTGCTTCTCCCTTTATTTTTAAAAAAATGTTTGTAGGCGGAATTTTTCATAATATCATTTAAGGTAATCTTTCCAGTGAGAACATAATTGACATCTTTACAAAAGTTGTGAAAAAAAATTTTTCTTTTGCTTAGTAAATAATTAAGTAGCCTTACTTTATGATGTGAGCAAGACGTTATTATCAAGACACTCTTGTATTATCAATTTAATATACTGTGATATCTAATTTTTATTGCAATTTGTTTTTAGTACTTCTATGGTATCTGTTCAACATGGGCAAAGATAGCACAGCCATTTATTGTCACCATATTCTTTAAGCTTTATAAATTTGTGAAAACTATGTGGAACAACCACATCAGTTTCCAAACCATTTTTGCATGTTTTTGACATTTGCATGAACAGTTTTTAAATACATTTTTCTTTGCTAGTTGTGCTATCCATTCATTGCAATATCCTGTTGCTGTGCTTCTTTCTATGTGCATTGGAGATTTACTCTGCTATTATTCTTGAGTGTCTGTTAAATTTAATATTAAATGATTCTCTTCTATCACATTATCTATTCTTTGATACACATCTTTGAAGTATTTTCAGGAGTGTTCCTGATGTACATTTACCAATTAATGAACGGTATTAATTCACAATAAACTTGTTATGGTGGTAATAGAAAAAATGTACACCTATATAAATGAAAAGTTCCCGTCACAATTAGGTTTAAGGGTTCTTTTCTTAGAACCCGATAGTATTGTACTATAATGGGTATTGTGTTCTACATTGTACATAAAATCGAGGTCTGTTTTTAAAAATGAAAAAAAAATAGTCTTCACATTGCTACCTTTAGTGGTCAATTTTAATTATTTAGCGTATAAAAAATATCTGTACATGTTATAAAAATATTTATCTTAAAAACCTTGTGTTGTATACTCTTTGTATCCATCTTTACTAAAGAAATAAGCATTTCATTTTGGTAGACCATCATATAATATAGAGGCGTTTATACATATAGATAGGCATAATAGGTTACACATTTGACTAAAAACTGTCAATGTGTGTACAGTTTTGTGTAACCCAACCAAACTCCAGGCGGCAGCACTTTCCATAGATGCAATTTTTATCAAAGAGAAGCCACTCTTTCCCCTGTAGATAACTTTACTCTTTGGTGAAAACACAGTTTGCGGATGCACTACTTGATATCGTCCATTTCAGAAGACAGCTTGCGACGAAACAAAACCTACATGTTGCCCCAATCTAAGCTTAATTAGCAGCGTAAATTTTGAAGTCATAAGTAAACAGACAGACACAAAAATTACAAAAATGGTTTTTATGTGTCTATACTCTTCTTGTGATACCTTATTTAATTTTTCATAAATATATTCAAAGTAAGGTTAGTTCTATACTCAAAATGTAAAGGCAATTTTCATTACCAAGGTTTATTGTTTGTTGTATGTTTACTGGGCAGTTCTATAAAATATTTATAAAATCCAATCTTGCTAAAAACTGTCAGGTAAGAACAATTGTAAAACTGTAAATGTTTTAAGACAGTTTAAAAAAAAACGAAGAAACATTTTTCATATTTTTAATATATCTACATAAAGATTTACAGAAAAAGATTTGTTAAATTAAGAATTAAGTCTAACACAGATGGATATTTATTATGTTATTACCTCAGATACATTAAATATGTATTATTTTATATACTAAATTAATTAGATATAACTTTAAAACTATACACTAAATTACATTTTTAATAGATTATGATTAAGAATAAATGGTTTATTCAAACTAACACTACTCCATCAGCTTCACTTACATTTAACGGATTATATCACTTAACACTATAAAGTCAATTTCTTCACAAATTTGAAATGGATAACGTAACTTTATACTTGTTAAAGTAAAACAGCGTCAGATTAAACTTGAATTTTTAATTGAGTTTTAAATCTTTCGCAGTTGAACTTTAATAAATAATCAAAGCTATCGTCGATTTTAAATCAGCCAACCGCAGCAAGCATAAATGTAGCAATCTCCTCACTGGGGCTCCTAACGGTAAGTTGCATAGTTACAGAGCCCTGAGGTGCGGCCAGTCGAGCTTTGATTAGCACAGGAACATTTTCACGCCACAGGCCTCCACCTCGAATCTCCTTGACTGTATCCCCTCCAGATATAGCAGATTTTGGCATATCTAAATGTTCACAAACAGCTATCGCTGCGTCACCTATGTCAGCCTGTGACAATCCAAAAGTGTCACACGCTTCGTGTACTGAGGCTGCTTCTTCCCATGAAGCTTCCCATTCATCTGTTGCTGCTTGAAGCTTAAACTGATCAGCGCAACCTATTTCAACTTCTTCTAAGGGATATGTATCAGCATAGCCATCGCTTGCATCAGGCAGACCTGTTTTCGGATTACAATCACGCACCACAAACTCTAATATCGTTCCAAAGCTCCCCAGTGTATCCAGAGGAACTTTTGGGAATTCTAATACACAAAATACGTTTCCTGGTATATCATAAACCAGTTTCTCGCAAATGGCCTCACCAATGAATTCATAGCCAGGAACAGTTCCCAAACATACATAGACTTTTTCAAGAAATTGGTCATTCAACGTATTTATAATTTCAAATTGAAGGACTAAATGATGTGCAAAAATATGTTTTACACATCGCACTCGGTACTCTGTTTCAGACTCCGTAAGGTCGATAGGTTTGCATGACTTAAATATTCGACCGAACCTCTCAACAAACGGGATAACCTTCATTTGCTCTTTATATTGTTCCTCAAGAGATATAGTGTTTTGAGTAATTGCTTCTGCTTCTGCGGCTTCAGCAGCCTTTTTAGTTTCGTCTACTGTTGGAACAGAATTAATATCAAATGGTTCATCAGGGTTTGTTCTTATGTGGTTTTGAAGGGATTGTTCCAAAATTTCCAAATTAGGTATGGGCACGTTGGTCATATATTCATCGACAAGCTGCGGATCATCAGAGTCCAAGATGGCACTGTAAAAAATTGCCCTGTCCCGCACTTCATCGTCATCATCTAATTTGCACCTAGTGAGCAACACTCTTATGTTTGGAAGAAGTTCGGCACGTGCGGCACCGAATCGAGCGACTGCAGACACAGCCGCAGCTCTTACAGGGCCGGCCTCCAAAATTACTCTGTTGTAAATATATCTGATGTATCTTGAAGGCTGACGTGCTTTTGGACCTTCACGACCTAAAACATGCAATATACGGACAGCGAGAGATGTATGTTCACAGTCTTCAATAAATTCGCACAAATGTGCCAGACCAGTTTCCCTAGCTTCTGGATTTTCTTCAATCAATGCAATGATGGCATCAGCAATGGTAGTTTTATATTGCACACCACCTTCATCCCTAAGCATTCCAGCCAGAAAGGAAGCCAAGACTTGGTGTTTCCTTGGGTACTTTGTGCAAAGGCGTCTAATGGCACTTACAACTACAATTTTGAATTCATCTGGAATTTCTGAAATAAAGCTAGTTATTTGCTTCATGAGCCGGTCGATAGATGTTTCAGCACCAGTAGCCAGGAGTGTGGTAACAGCCAAAGTAGCTACAGAGCGATTAGGATCCGAAATTAAATTTTCAAGATCAACTGTGCACGCTGATATAGCATTGGGATGTCTCGCAGTAAGTTTGGCAAGAGTGCGAGCACCTGCAAGCCGCAAAGTGGCTTTCGATGAACCACAGAAGATTTGTAATACAGACACGGCTTGTGCTAGATCTCTAGCTGATTTTCTTAAATGAATAACTGCATGTGCTGCTTCATAAACCACCATTTCCGATTTGTGACGAAGGCAGGATTCTATAAACTCCATGAAACATTCAGAAGCATTACTGGGGTCTTCTTCAGCCAACTTTGCAGAATAGCGAATAAGAAGACAAAGCGCGTATGGCGACCGAAGAGGTGGACGTGAAAACTTTGTAACTAATTTCACCATAGACAATCGATCGGTACGTTTAGCACTACCAGCTACAGCAAGTGCGTGATATGATACCATCACATTATCGGAGTGAATAACTTCCTGCAAATAAAACATGTATTGTAATTTTTTAAGTACATAACTATGTTATAAGTATATGTATGTGAATATAAATGTGAAATCTAAATCAACATATTATTTCAGAACATGATTAAAAAATGTAAAGTTTCACAAAGAAATTATTAATTTTACAAATTTTATAATCGTGTTATGTATGTATGTATATACACTATAACAAATTTGGGGAAAGAAGTGGACTAAAACATGATGGTGATAATATAACTTGTTATAATATTGATGAGGTATGATTATAATATGACATTAATTTATAAACAGTTTTATAGGTTGCTTTTGATACACATAAGTCGCTTAGGCATCATATAAATTTAATCAGGACCTTTAAACATCCATAGTAAAAAAATCAATAAGTATAATTTTTTTAACATATTAATAATAAAAATTAACAATTGCAATGCTATTACATTACATACCACTTCTTTACATGTATATACATATAAATACACATTATACAATAAACATTTAAGAAAAATAACCATGCAGAAGAAAAGCTTTAGAATATCTCAAGCATTAGCAAAGTTTAAAACATTGAAATCATTCAGAGCAACTAACACCATTTAAAATTTTACAATAAAATAAAATAACAAATGCTTAATTTATATTTTATATGTAGAAATTAAGCATTAATGGCACAAGAATTAGCATAATTTATGAATAATTATGTCATTTCTAAATGTATGAAGAGATTACCTGTGCTTCATTTGCCCATCGACGAGTTAAATCTGGTATAGATGCAGATAAATGTATAGTAGACACTAAAGCAGATGAACTTACTGCCGCATTTTTATCAACAATGGCTTGCTTCATGTAACGCTCAATGGCTTGTATCATACTACTATCTGTTATGCTGCACAGAGCTCTGATTGCAGCAGCTCGATAAAGGTCTTTTTTACCAGTCATATCTTTAGTTAGTGATGATGTTACTATAATTACATCTTGAGCTAAAGAACTGAGTTCTTTGATACTCAAATAAACTAAGCGGCGGAGCATCACATTCTTAGATTGGAACAATTTTGTGGTAGCAAAAAATACATCTGTGGCTTCTTTCGTCGTAAGTTTCTCTCCTTGGTTTAGCAAATAAATGATTTTAGTTAAAATATGAATACATTTTTTGGGGTTCACGGGCGTGGAATTGAAATTCCTAGTTTCTTGAAGTAAAGATGTTTTGTCCAGATTTTGAAATATGGCGCTGCCATCTTCCTCTTCTTTCTTATCGCGGCGAAAAGAACTCATTGTGACCAAATTGTGGAAGACTGAGCAAGCCAAGTAAATGCGATACCAATAATTATTGAACGCTTCTTTTTCTTACAATTTTTCTTACTTACAATTTATTGACGTATTCGCCCACTACAATGTACATCTATACGCACGCGTCATCAAAAACTATTGTCTATTGTAGAAGTGGGCAATACAAATCGTATCAGATATGAAAACTAGAAATTAGTACAATATCCGAATACTTACTGGCTCGTTCAATATCTATGTATTTTACAATAAATGATATTTCCGAAATCTGATGTACCGGCTCGCTCGCTATACCGACACGAATCGCGATATCATACGCGTTTGCCACAATATCTGATTTTTAAACAGATTTCGAGAGACAAAGCGCGTGAGATACAAATACTCACTAGTCAGAGCGGGACGGCAAGCAATGCTAACAGATTTCGAGCGACAAAGCGCGTGAGATATAAATTCTCACTAATTAGAGCGGGACGGCAAGCAATGCACGATATCAGATTTTTAAACAGATTTTGAGCGACAAAGCGCGTGAGATACAAATATTACACTAGTTAGAGCAGTACGGCAAGCAAGGCACAATATCAGATTTTTAAACAGATATTATGAATAAGTTAAGTAATTTTGAATCTTATTACTATGCAAATAAGATCCGTTTCAGTTAAATACAAATCATGGTATCAACGATTACTACAACGATATTATTATATTTTTATTTTTTTGTTTAGCCTTGAGCCGTAACGGGCGACAAAGCGCGCAGTTAAGTAATTTTGAATCTTAACAGCATGGAAAAAAACTTTGTTGCATTTAAATACGAATTACGGTATTAACGATGTCTTTAAATTTTGTTTAGCCTTGAGCTGGATTGCATTGGTACCTAGCACGTAATAGTAAGGGATGCCAACTTACTACTTAAGAATTTTCTGCCTAAATTAAGGAAGAAAAATATACAATGGAAATTTTTTAGGAGGTAAATTTTTTATGAATATTTTTATTAGTTAAATTTTATTCATATTTTTGGAAAAAAATAAAAGTACACAAAAAGAAAAATATAATTTAATAGTGCTGTGCTGCTTGGGTGGAAATCAGACCAAGGCTTATGTGCCTTGTGTGTATATTTTAAATTCTTCCTCCCTAAGTTATAATACTGAATGTATTATTTCTTACACAAATTATAAAAATATTGTCACTCATGATTGCGTGTTCTAAAAATATGTTTAAGTCAATTATTAAGATATATATAAGATGTTAAAATAAATCATTTTAATATTACTTGAATTTCTATTTTTAATGAGATTTTTAATTTAATCAGGTAATTTTGATTGGTAATGTTTTAATTTTACCTTAATAGTATTTAAAAAAATCGTGATTTCTTGAATTTAGCCAATTTTAGTGGGTTTTCGAATTTATTTCGGAGTATTCTTTTTGAACAGTTGGTATCACTGGTAAGTTTTTTTTTTTTTTTTTTTTTTTTAATTCAAGGTGCATAGGGGACCGTAAAATATCTAGATATTAAAATACATAGTTTCGAAATCTGATATTTGAAATCGAAATCTGATTCAGATACGGTACTCAGAAAAAGCGATACGACCCATCTATAGTCTATTGTTACCAGCCAGCATAGCGGTTTTATCTTTAACGTGCCTATTCAGGTGTGGCGACCTGTCTACAGCTAACATAACAGCTAATCGCCGTCACACGGCGGGCCGTCATTTTTGAATACGCTCGGGCGCCATCGTGCATCATCGACCGCGCTCGGATTTTCGCTGGACGTCAGTGATTTTGCGTACGTGACTTGGGAGGAGTCTGCCGTCCGCCGCGCGATTGCTATAACGTCTAACAGCTGTAAATTCCAAATTGTAACTGTAAATATATATATTCAATGTGGAGTTAGTTTATCTTACAGTTCCACCCTACTAATCCACAAGTGGTGACCCCGACGTGATCTAAAATCTGTTACGTTTGTTTATTTTAAATTAATTCTTTAACGATAACAGTCAACGGCCATTTTGAACAATGTCTCGCAGCAACGCAAATTCCACCGGACTACATACGGCGAGCGACCCCGCTTTGTTTCGTGTTGGTGTTAAAGTGCCACCGTTCTGGCCTGATAAACCTGCACTTTGGTTTGGTCAGCTAGATGGACAATTCGCGCTATGCAACATTACAGCGGACAGCACAAAATTTTACCATGTCATCTCGGTTTTGGATTATAAATACGCAGCGGAAGTAGAAGACATCATAACCAAACCGCCATTAACGGACAAGTACGAAACATTAAAAAGGGAGCTTACGAACCGCTTGTCAACGTCCAAACATCAACGGCTTACTCAGCTCCTAAGCAGTGAAGAATTGGGTGACCGCAGGCCTAGCCAGTTTCTTCGCCATTTACGCAGCCTAGGCGGAAATGACATCCCGGATGATTTTTTAAGGTCACTGTGGTCAAACCGGCTACCTAATTACATCCAGGCTATTATAGCTACCCAAGACCATTCTAGTCTGGACGAAGTGGCTCAATTGGCGGACAAAATCATGGAGGTTACTCCGCAGACTCCCCTGCAACAAGTGGCAGCAACTTCAACACCATTAGAAGAGCTACATAAGAAGATCGACATGCTAACGCAAAGATTAGATGCAATCTCAATGTCTAGTCAACGTTATCACTCCAGAGCTAGATCTAGATCCTGTCAACGACACCGATCCCGTTCCCGACAAAAACCTCGTGCTAGTGGTGTGTGTTGGTACCACCACAGATTTCGGGGAAATGCGAAGAAATGTATCCAGCCGTGCAATTACTTAAAAAACGAATAGGACAGTCGCTCGTAGCGGCAAGTGACTGTTTTCCTACGACAAGCCGCTTATTTATAACGGACCAAACGAGTAAGGTGCAATTTTTAGTGGACACAGGTTCCGATTTGTGTGTGTACCCTTTAAAGTACTTGCGTAATGAGAAGCGGCATAAGAATGACTATGAACTTTGTGCAGCCAATGGTAGTAGTATAGCAACATATGGATGGACTAGTTTATCGCTCAATTTTAATTTACGTCGAAGTTTCAACTGGCGTTTTGTGGTTGCTGACGTTACCAAACCTATAATAGGCATTGACTTTTTATCGTTTTATGGTTTGCTAGTGGATGCTAAGAATCACCGCCTCATAGATAGTATTACTCAGCTTACTATTAATGCTTCTCCTGCTACTTGTGGTATGTTTTGTATAAAAGCTGTTGCAGGCTCTACTCGTTTTCTCCGGTTGCTGCAGCAGTTTCCAGGCATCACTAGACCTATTGGGGCCCCTATGGAGCGCGAGGTGAAGCACAACACGCTTCACTATATCCATACGACCCCTGGCCCACATGTGACCTGTAGACCCCGTCGACTTGATCCTGACCGGCTTAAAATAGCCCAACTGGAGTGCGAAGACATGGTTCGTTCAGGTATTTCGCGTCGTTCAAAAAGCTCTTGGTCATCCCCGTTGCACATGGTGCCGAAGAAAAACATCGGTTGGAGACTATGTGGTGATTACCGCGCCTTGAACGCCCGAACTATCCCGGACAGGTACCCGGTTAGAAATATTGGTGACTTTTCCCACATTTTACACTATTGTAAAATATTCTCCACCATTGATTTAGTCCGCGCATATAACCAGATTCCTGTTGCTCCTGAGGATATACCAAAGACAGCCATAGCGACACCCTTCGGATTATTTGAATTCGTTTATATGAGCTTTGGATTGTGCAACTCTGCACAAACACTACAAAGATTTATGGATGAAATTTTATCATATTTTCCTTTCTGCTTTCCATATCTGGACGACATTCTAATCGCTTCGAAGAACGATGAGGAACATGAGCATCATTTACGCTTGATCTTCGAGTGTCTCCAGAAGCACGGCGTACTCGTCAAATCAGCCAAATGCGTCTTCGGAAAACCTGAGGTGACGTTCTTGGGCTACACAATCTCGGCAGAAGGTACAAAGCCACTCCCAGAAAAAGTAAGAGCTATACAAGACTCCGCAGCCAACCACTATAAAAGAGCTTCGTCGTTTTCTTGGTATGCTCAACTTTTACCGCCGTTTCATACCGCATGCTGCTCAGATACAAAGCTCGCTTAATTGCTTACTTTCTGGGCCTAAAACAAAAAGCAAAGCTAATATTACATGGACTGCTGAACTTTCAAAAGCTTTTCTGGAATGCAAAAATAGCCTCGCTAAAGCTGCACTTCTTGCATCCATGTCCGAAGTCCGAACTCGCAATTTTCTCGGATGCTTCGGACGTTGCGATTGGGTCAGTTATCCAACAACGTGTTAACGGCGCATGGCAACCTCTTGGCTACTTTTCTAAAAAGCTTAGTACAGCGCAACGCAAATATAGTCCCTATGATCGGGAGTTATTAGCTATCTACGAAGGTGTTAGGTATTTTAGACACATGCTAGAGCTAAGGCCTTTCATAATTTATACAGACCACAAACCTATCACTTTCGCCTTTAAAAAATCGCTTGACAAATGCTCACCGCGTCAATTCCGATACTTAGACTTTTTAAGTCAGTTCTCCACAGACGTGCGACATATTACTGGAAACGACAACTTAGTAGCGGACACATTATCACGACCCTGTGAATCAATCAGTGCTCTCGATTACAGCGCACTGGCAGCCTCACAAA